TCCTTCCAAAGCCTAGCATATTTTGCATACTTTAAACCTGATTTTGGATTGTATCAGGAATGAAGAGGGCTTGACCTTTGGTATAACTGAGAATGCCTCTCACTCTTGAGCTCTTGAGGTGATGGCAATATCATAGAAATGGGTTAAAAAAAAAGAGATTTTTCCATTTAAGGAAAGACCCTAAAAATCGTAAAACTGGGAAGCTGTGGAAGGAGGTGCAGATATCCAATCTGGAGGAGATGGGCAGAGTGCTGAGATCAGTCTTTCCCCATTCATATGCCAGTGCCCTGATAGCAGGAAGCATGCCGAAAAAGGATACCAGAAAATTATTCATTTTAAATAACTTTGGCAGAAATAAGGTTAGATTTAGGGTTAACAACAGTTATGACCATAGCAATTCATGCTGCCAAAGGTTGAAGCTCACCAGTTTTCAGTGGTGAATGCTAGGTGGTTGGCAGGAAGACAGATGGAGTGTTATCTGTTTTGAACCTTAGCATGATGTGAAGTTGGAGAGGCCTTGATTTTGATACTTTTGATACCTATCCATTTCCCAAAGAATCCACCAAACTCTTTTCTTGCTTTCCTACAATAAATAAGAATGCCACCATCTTCTAACCTTCTTACTGTGGCAGAATAGGGGACAGTGATGGGGTCAAAAAGACTTGTGCCAGGCTGTTTTTCTGCCAGCTCAGAGAGGGGTGGATAGTGCTTTATCCAGTGGTGGGATTCAAATTTTTTTACTAACGGTTCTGTGGGCGTGGCTTGGTGGGCATGGCATGGATTGGTGGGCGTGGCAGGGGTAGGATACTGTAAAATCTCCATTCCCTCCCCACTCCAGGGAAAGGTTACTGCAAAATCCCCATTTCATCCCGATCAGCTGGGACTCGGGAGGCAGAGAATAGATGGGGGCGGGGCCAGTCAGAGGTGGTATTTACCAGTTCTCCGAACTACTCAAAATTTCCGCTACCGGTTCTCCAGAACTGGTCAGAACCTGCTGAATACCACCTCTGGCTCTAACTCAGCTGTTAGAAGTGTTACCATAGAGGCAGGTTAGCGATTGTCAATGGGACTATTGTTCTATGCTGGCATTGTTTTGTAGTGTCTCAGAAATGGGTGGATAGTACTTTAACATAGCCCAAGAGCTGAACCTGAAACACACCCCATTCTAGGTACCAGGTTGTGGAAATCATGCTATTTCTTCAGTATTGCAAAGGTCCCTTATTGCTATGCTCTGCATAACTCTCAAACTGATAACTTGAATAAGAGCGAAGTGCAGTTCTGCTTGACGCAAGAGACTAGGTAAATGTACTAAGGAACTCAGATTTATGCAACCAGGTTTTATTGTTAAGCGTCCAGTTGAGGTAACTGACCAATAGGGACATCTAGTGGTCACTCATTGCAAAATCTTCCAGTCAGCAAGAACAAGACAAGTTAGATTTAGAACAACCTTACACATTATTTTTTTCTGGGTGAAATGTGACATACAGTATTTTTATTACTCCGATATCTATGAATTTCAGATCTGGCTGAAACGAAACATAAAGCCTCAATTTATCATTTCTTTATTTAAAATACTTTTTGTTACCTTTCAGAGTGAAATCCTTCCAATTCAGGTTATGTCAAACCATAATAGTCATATAAAGGCAACTCCAAAACAACACTTGCAAATTTGTTCTCCAAGTCAAACTTCACAAGTCCATGCAGTTTTCTTGACTTTATATTTCAGAAATGGTTTGCCATTGCCTTTTTCTTAGGGCTGAGAGAAAGTGACTGACCAAGACCACCCAGCTCAAGGCAGCATTAAAACCCATGGGCTCCTGATTTCTATCCCAGTACTTTTAATTATTATTTCAAACCTTTTCTTTAAAGCAAGAATGTTAAAAATTAAAAATATGTTTGAAATTTAAAAATTATCAGACTCTGATCAAAAACCAACAACGTAGATTGGGCTAGTATATATTTATAGAGGCAGTCCCCAGAACTGGACTGCAGCTGAGAAGGTAAGCATTTAATACACGGCCTTAAAAGCAGGGCATCCACAACTGATTGTAAGATTTGAGCAGGTTCTTATAGTTGCAGATGGTCTTTTATATACCTATCGGTGTTTTGAAGATCATTATGTGCAAGGTTTCAGGACTAATAGCAGAAAATACTTTCCAAATACATCATTAAATTAGGGACTTTGCTGTCACTGGGTGTGGTGATAGCGATAAATGTAGAAGTTTTAAAATAGGAACAAATTCCAGAGGGATTGTGTTAACAATGACTATAACTTCATAACTGTTTGCGATTTTTGTCATGCTCTGAGTATTAACTGCTATGAAATAACAGTGGAAAAGGCTTCCGTCTTCCTGTCTAAACTTCAAATACATCTAATTGAATTCCAGTCTGAGAAACCAAACTTTTTGGCTAGATAGATGCATTGGAACTCTTACATTCTCATTAGCATCATCATAAATTTGACCTAAAACTAGATAAGCAACCAATATAACTGAATAACCTTATCTGAATTGGATTAATGATGGCTGCTATCCAGGGATGAAATCCAGCAGGTTCTGACAGGTTCTGGAGATATTTTGAGTAGTTCAAAGAACTGGTAGCGAAAATTTTGAGTAGTTCGGAGAACTGGCAAATACCACCTCTGGCTGGACCCAGAGTGGGGTGGGAATGGAAATTTTGCAATATCCTTCCCCTGGAGTGGGGTGAGAATGGAGATTTTGCAGTATCCTTCCCCTGCCATGCCTACCAAGCCACGCCCACTAAGCCACACCATGCCCACCAAGCCACGCCCACAGAACCGATAGTAAAAAAAATTGAATTTCACCACTGTTGCTATCACTTTTTTCTCTGGTAGTTTCCCCACTGTTGTCTTTTGTATTTCTATTTAAATAGCAATAATTTCTAAATAAGTTTCAATATATAATAACTCCGTCTCCCATGCACAAAAGGGTGTTCTTTTTTGCTCTCTTTTATTAAGACATCTAATATTTTGGATTTAAAGAAACAAAGTTATTGTCAGAAGCCAAATATGTATTGCTTTCTTTGAAAATGTGGCTAGATTAATGGATAAAGGAAATGCTGTGGGTGCAGTATACTGAAATGTCAGTAAGACATTTGATAAAGTAGACCATGTCCTCCTTGATAAACTGCAAGGAAATTGGAAGGAGAATCTCACTGCCTAATGGATTTGCAATTGGCTGAATAAATATAGCCAACACATGGTCCTTAATGGGTCTATGCAGGGAGACATGTAGTGGGGTACATCAAACCCCAGTACTTCCCAACTTCTCAGAACATGAAGACTTAAATAAGTAATAATGATGTTCATAAAATTTATGAAACAAGGCTGGGGGTGGAAGGGATTGCTTGTCTTCAGAAGACAAGGTTAAGGTTCAAAACGATCTTGACAGACTTGAATATTGAGTCATATCCAACAAAACACTGTTTAATGATGAGAAAGGTAAGATTCTGCATTTATGTAGAAAAAAACATGTACATTTGTACAAGATAGGTAATACCTGGCTTGGGCTACAGGTTAAACATGAGGTAGCAGTGTGCTATAGTTGCCAAAAAAGCCAATGGAGTCTTGGGCTGCATCAACACAGGTATGTGTTGAGTTCAAATTGACACAGGACAGGAAAAGATGCTAAGGAATTGGAAAGAGAGTAGTTGTGGGTGCTCCATCACTGGAGGTTTTCAAGAAAAGTTTGGTAGCCATTTGTCCATGTTGGCATTAGGATGCCTTCCTTAGGCATGGGATTAGAAAATCTCCAAGATGTCCTCCAACCCTATGATCCTAAACAACTCTCAATGTTTAGACATACAAGTAGTCCTCAGGTTCTGATGTCAATTGGGACCAGGATTGCTGTTGCTCAGTGATATGGTTATACAATGCACTATCATGTGGCACATTACTTAGCAACAGCAATCCCATCACAGAGCCACAAATGGATCATTAAGCAGGTAGTGGTAGGGGTTCCAGGTAAAAAGAGTGGGAGTGCTACAAGGAATGGGAAAAGGCTTAGAAGAGCACAGAAAGGCCATAGCTTGGCAGGGCATAAATGCAGGAAGGCTGGGAGTGTATAGTGTGGCAGGGTATGAACATAGGAAGGCCAGGGGTGTACGACATGGCAAAGCATGAGCACAGAAAGGCTGGGGGAGGATTTACCAGAGTGAGCTGGGATCTTTCTTCCAGCTTCTCCATAGACTTTGCTTGCAGAAACCAGCAAGGAAGGTCACAAGTGGTGATAACATGACTATGGGGGCACTTTGAGGACTGTTCATAAATATCATTTGTTTAATGCCATCGCAACTTCAAATAACCATTGAATTGGCTGGTAAGCAATAACCACTGGTTGGTAAGAAGAGACTCCTTATAAAAATACAGTTACTGGACCCTGGAGAATGTTCCTTTGCCACAGCAAATGGGCTATTATACTCACCTTCAGGTTTCTGGTTCTGCAGACATAGTGCTTCAATTTATTACTAAAGCACCAACAAACACCTCAAACTGACACTTTTCTCAAATAGTTTGATGAAACGGTTTCAGTGACAGAGAATCCTCAGCCCATTGTCATAAGCCTCTCTGGTTGGATTCATATTAATATGATTTGTTTGGCTTTGGCATAATATTTTGTATGATTTTAGCCACAGTCGTTTTGAATTATTTCTTGTGGCTTAGCATGATACACTCAACCACTATATTACAAAGTCTTGATTTGAGATGCAAAATTTTATTCATCAAACTTGGTGGCAGATTTTATTTGTGAGTGCTTCCTCCTAGAAAGAAAACTCAAGAAAAACTTTCATCTTCAAATATGATGAGACCATATTAAGAGCTGAATCTTCCATCCCTTTTTCTACACTGTCACAATATTATAGAAGTAATGAAGAAATAATTGAATGGAAATGTTGGTTGCAAATGGGCATATTTTCATGCATGCTTCAGTTGCTTAACTCAAATGTATATAATCCATATAAAGATTGCATTATGCACACAATTCTATTATTAGTATATATTTCTTTATTTAAGAGCAATTGCAGTATAAGTCATCTGTAGGGAGTCACAGCATCATTAACACAACCTGCCCCAAATATATCTGTAGGCAACATTACAATGGAAGTAGAAACTAATTGGACTTGTTTGCCTTATGATATCATGACATGTGTTTTGTAATTTTGATGTCCTCATGGTTAGAAATGATATATATCTTGTTGTGTCTGAAAGCTTTGGTCTCTATAAATTTCATATTTTCTTTCAACTATCCAAATTGTTGGTAGTCTTCATTGCACCTCATGCAATGAAGGTTTTAGATTGTGTGGCAAGAAAGAGTATTGCCTGAATTTTCTCCCAAAACCAAAATCCCAAATTCTAATATTACAAGCAAATTTTATATTATCCTGAAAATGGGGTTTTCCCAAATTATTTAAATTTAAAAGAGAAGGATAATGTTAGGTTTGTGAGATATTAGCATTCTTTTCCCACCCTGTGATATTTTTTAAATCATCGTGAATTCAATATCATATTTCTTTTGAAAACAGAATAACCTATATTTCTCCATTCTATGGATTTATTTTATGCCAAGCCATTTTATGCTAAAGCCAATTGCCTCTAGTCATTGGCCAAAATACAATAGTAAGGAAAGTCATGCCTCACAAGATCTTGGCAGATTTTAAATGCCATGCAGCAAAATGGACACTTACTTAATTATGGCACCTTCTACACAGCTGCTAACGTCTCCTTTGAAACCATAATCAACTTCTGAGTGTCCTCACTTGTCTCATTGAATGTCAGGTCTGACCAATTGTGAAGCACTAAAAAGTGACTGCTATCTGATATCTCACCTCTTCTTTTAATGGAAGGGAGAGAGGACGGGAGGAAAGGAGGAAGGTCCACCAGTCCATGGTCACTGCATGGGGAGAACAAAATTGCCTCTTACAACAGTTAGAGAACAATCATTATTTTAAATATTTTTATTTCTACTTTGTCTTTAACAGCTTGTTTTGCTTATTTGTGCATTGACTACATGCAGTATGTGTTCTCTTTAAAAAAAGCACACTGCTATAACTCTTCCAGAGTAGTCATGATATCGATATTTACAATGGTACTACATGGATGCCTTGCTGTAGTTGATCTCTGACTGGAGTCTCCGCTCCATTCCAAGTGCCGATATGGGGTAAATAAATAAAAACTGGTAAATAAAAACTGGAAATAGATTGGCATATCCGCCTACATGATAATATGGGGTGGATAATATGTTGTTGGGCACAGAAGGCCATCCAATGATGTTGCAATGGAATGGATACATGTTTCCCCCCTATTTTTGGAGGGGAAATATGGATGGGAATGGGATCAGGACATCTCTGAGATGCCGGGCGTCCATTGTTAGCTTACGTTAACCCAAATCATCATGTTGGGAATTTAAATTAAGTGTGTTTAAGGGTAGAAAGGAGTCTAGTATCTTCCTTGCTGACATTCTTTTCTTTAATTTTCCCCAAATGACAAGAAGTGGCCCAAATTGCCCTCAAAATGGCAACTTAGGGCATTTTTGTACTTTGTGGAGTTTTAGATAGGAATAAGAGGTGCCTTCTATTTTCCAATGTTTGAACAAAAGAAATCTGAAAAGTGTAACTATGCATTCATAGTTGGCTGGACCAGCTGTCTGCCTGTTATGGGTTCTCCATCTCTGCTGTTAGGTTTATAGAAAATAGGCATTCTATCCATTGCATCTGAAACATTTTCACTGAGCAGTTCCCTGAGAATATTATGAATTATTTTATAAAGAAATGAAAGTAAAAGAAAGTAGAACCTGCTAAAAATGAGAGGTGATAAGAGGCAACTTCTCTAGGTTGGAATGAGATATTGTTCCATTTTTTTCCACCAGATCTTTTTGTATTGACTGGGGAGGGAAAACAAGGAGCCAGGTCATCTGCCCTTGGCCAGTGACAGAAGACAGCTCATCAAGATGCCTTCCCCTGTTCAGGGAGATAAAGATGAATTGAAGAGCCTCATGGGAGATTCGATCCTGATCCAGAGAATTCCAAGGAGCTGTTCTCCAGGGCTCCATAGCCATTTAACTTGATCATCTTGAAAGAATCGGGCAAGTTAGATAAGAAGGTAGGGCGAGAGGAGGTGAAGAGTTGGCTGATTTCCATAAATGTCTTATTTTTAGTCTCAGGGATGATGAAATACACATACAGTGCAACTATAAAGCAGATACCGCAGAAGACCAGATAGCAGAAAGCACCAGCTGACATCTGAGATAGAAACAAGATTGGGTCAGAAGAGATTAAAAGAAACTGGCACTGGCATTTCCCACTGCCCATCACTTAATCCAGCCTTCCCCAGATACGTTTAAATTTCAGCTCTCACAATTCCCAATTAGTACGGCAATAACAACATAGGTTAAGAGAGGGTGAATTGGTCCAATATAGGAAGAAACACCATTAGTACGTTGAATATTTAAAGTTATTTCCTTCTAACAGATCCTTTACTGCTTTACCAATACAGTTTAAGAAGCCAGGAAATTCTCTTAAATCAAATCAAATAATTAGTCCATCTCGCTTGGTGTCAATTATAGAGATAATTACAACTTTCTGGGAATCACAAGAGGACAGGAGTCTTTTTCCAGCCCTGCTTATTGGATGCCTAGGAATGATGTGCCATGACTGGCTCAGTTTTGTTACAAATTCTCTTCTCTGTAACTGAGGATGACTGAGCTCTTGTGATTCTCAAGAGACTCAGGGAAATTTGCAATGCCAAATTTGAAAAGATGGAGTCTTTGCTTCAGGACTAACTTGATTGGTGCTCCACTAGTATTTTCAGCTTGGTTAGAATCCAGACAATCTGTTTCGGTCTAGATAATATATCCTGTCCCCTACCAGTTCCAGCCAGAATTGTCTATGATGAAGTATGCTTGATATTGCACTTTTCCAACTGGAGGTTCCATTTACTAGTGGGGTTTGGGGCATGATTCCACACCTAAATGATCTGGTCCACCTGTTGACCTATTGACAGTTTCCAACTGCACTTATGCAGGCCAGTATACTAAGGGGACATAGTTTGTGAAGCATTATCCTTGTTGAGGGAGGCAATCATAGCTCCCAGACCTATGTTACCTGCAAGAAGGGAAACACAAAGCCGACAGTGAAGTTCGAGAGCCAGTTGAGGGACCCACCCACAATATAAGCTGATGGCCGATGTGACTGCTTGAAGAGTTCAGCTGTCATCAGAAATGGGACGCCAGCTGTCAGAGAAAGACTACGCTCAGTACCAAGTAAATTAGTCAGGGTCCTACTTTACCTGGCTCTTGGGAGGAAATGTGCTTGAATCAGACTCAAAACCACCCGCTGACAAAACTGGGACTGAAGACAGAATTTTGAGGGAGGGTAATATAATAGCATTGCTCCACAGCAAGTAGGATTGTCAGCCTAGTTGCTAAGGCAACAGTGATATGGTTATTTTCCCCGTTGTCCCTCCCACCCAGCACTTTCACATATTTGAGCCATCCCTTCAATAGCTGAAATTACAGAGCACTTTTCAAAGGGCACGAAGTGTCCCAAATTGTTTTACGAGTCAGCTTAGTTCCAGACTCAAACATGTAATACAATGCTGGTACCTTTAAGAAAAGTGTTGCCCTGGATCCTAATGCCATCCTTTGCCCTGATGCAAAAGAACTGCCCTCTTTTATTCAGCCGCAATTTAAACAGCACAACTGCTTTTTTAAGAAGCACAGAGTACTAAAATGGTTGCGTATTTTTCCCCCCCAAGCCTTAATAAAAAATTCTACCCATGAAGTATTCAGAAAAACCACTGAATGAGCATTGCTTACAGATCACCCAGAGTGGGAAGAGAGATATTTTTATTTTAAAAGTCAGATTCATCATTGTTTGTGAACAATGAGCCATTAAAATCCTAATTAAAGATGTAATTACAGCGAATAAATTCTTGGCCGACAATGAGTTATGGATTTGTTAGAGGCTCCACTAATACATCAATTGGGTAAACCAGCTTCCAGCTCGTCCATCATATTTAGAGTGCTCTGCATTTGCCTCTTGGTTAGCAGCATGCCGAGGAATTGCCTCTGCAGCACAAAATAAAGGAGCAGCAAAACTCAGAGAGGCAACTTGCATCTTGATACTTCAAAGGCAAGATGTTATTGCCCTGAGCTCCTGAACAAAGGTGTGATATAAATTAAATGAATGAATGAATGAATGAATGAATGAATGACAAGATATTTTTTGCCTTGTTCTCCTGAATGAAAAATTGTCTAGAAATATAATAAATAAATAACATGAACGAACGAATGAATGAATGAATGAATGATAAGGCTGGTCATATAAATTTCTACGTTGTCCTGATCTTCTGGTAGTCCAAAACTACGCAATCAAGGTTATATTATCCCAATGTTAACCAATTCTAAATGCATTTAACAAAATCCTATTTAGGGCAATGCACATAAAAGAAAAGTTGTCGCTATTCATTCCATCTCTTCAATATACCAATTTATTGAGCATTTTATTAATTCCTTTCTTATTTTTAAGTTTGATGCTAATTGCAATTCTTCTGATGCATGGTAATATAGAATAAAAGTTTTTGTATCTTTTTATTCCTCAGATACTTTTCCCTGCTCCACAAACTTACCTGGTCCCATGCAAAATCCTGCAATGATTCCAATCACAAAAGCCACACTGAAGTAATGCATCCAGGACACACTTGGCTGCAAAAATGACATCCAATTGTTGGGATTTGTTAATGTTCAGTGCAAATAGTTTTCTCTTAATCATAAAACCCTAAATCTCCTACTATTCCAGTTCTGCATTCTATAAGTCCTATTTGTAGACTCCCAATTTATTGTTTTTGTTTGTTTCGAGTGATAGTCAATGTTCTGGTGTCCTGGATCTAACTATTCTGTCCTCCTCTTCTTCCTCCTGTTTTGCAACTCAGCTTTTCATATTCTGATTAATATTTCAGAAATGGTAGGATTCTTTTGCATTTTCTCAGTTGTGCCCACTTTGGTGTTTTGCATTCATCCACCAGAGCTACTTTGTGTTTCTGTTTTAGTTTTAAGATAGAAAAAAGCAGCTCTGGGAGCCTTCGCACACACAAAGTCACTATGTCACCTCTAAAACCATAGCCTGAAGTGAAAATCAGATTCAAATTAGATTACTCGGTGTAACTCTATGCACAAAGATGTTTTTACCTGAAGCACCAGGGACAGGGTGATGCCAGCAGAACAGATGCCCATAAAACAGAAGCCAACTATGAGGAGAGGACGACGTCCCACCTTCTCAATGGTGAAACACTGCAGGAGAAAAATGGGCACAAGAAGGATGTTGGCTCTTAGGTTTTATGTTTCTACATGCATGTATATGCTACAAAAGTCTGATCGTTTGGATTTTTAAATTAATTGACGTAATTTGCACATTTTGAACTCCGCCACATTTTTTTTTCACATTCTACTCTTCTCTGAATTTTGCAACAGAGTTGTCAAATTTAAAAATGTATATAGAAATAAAATTGCATGCAAAAATGTAACTATTAAAGAATATTGCATAAAAAATAAAAGAACATTTTCTTGGAAATTAAATTGTAGAACTTTTTTTTTTGGCATTTTTACATTTCGTACTGAAAGGACATGAATACTGACTGCATCAACCAAATTTACATTGATACAGTACACACCAGGCAAGCATACTGGGAAGACACAACAATGCTACACAGAATTATTGCTAAAGAGTAAATGGAAAAAAAATACTATTTTGTGCCATGGAAAAGAGCTAGAATGTCAGCCTCTAAAATTCTACTCCCCCCCCACTTATTGTTGTTAGTTGCGAAGTCGTGTCCGACCCATCACGACCCCATGGACAACGTTCCTCCAGGCCTTCCTGTCCTCTACCATCCTCTGGAGTCTATTTAAGTTCACGCCTACTGCTTCAGTGACTCCATCCAGCCACCTCGTTCTCTGTCGTCCCTTTCTTCTTTTGCCCTCAATCTTTTCCAGCATTAGGCTCTTCTCCAGTGAGTCCTTCCTTCTCATTAGGTAGGTAGATATCAAGATCCTTTAAAAGAACAATGGGACCACTGAATCTCCTGAATGAAATATTCTAGGATCCAATATGCTTACTCCCTTAAGTATAATGCACTAGAATCAGGTGGCAAGGGAAGATTTAATTGAGGAAGTAGAAGTGAAAGCAACATTAGACTATTTAGTGCTAGAGTTCTTTTTTTAAGGGAAACTGAGCATAGTCCTATGTGTATCTTGGATTCCAAAAAAAGTATATTTTAATAAACTCAAAGCAATTATAACTAGGATCCCATGACAGGAGAACTAATGTAAAAAAGGATCTCTGGAGAATAGAAGTCCATTAAGAGAAATAATGGACAGCAGAAGCAGCAAATGTGACTAGTGAAAATAGTCAGGAAATAGAAAAAGGGACAGATCACAAAGGGACAGGTACATAATCCAGAACTGAGGGCTATTGTTAACTAAGCAAAATCTCAGATTGAAATAAGGTTAGGAGAGGATTCTAAGACTAACCAAAAAGGTTTCTTTAGACACATTCTAAATAAACGGAAAAGGAAAGAATGAGTTAACTTAAAGAAAATGGCAAAATGCTAACAGGTAACAAAGAAAAGGCAAAATTATTCAATTCCTATTTTGGTTCAGTCTTTTCCAAAAAGAAGATATGTTTTCCATCAGGAAATTGTTCAACACAGGATAAGAGAAAGGACTGAACTGATCAAACACACAATTCCAAGCAATGGTGAGTTTCCTTGAGTAAGTAAGCTCTTACCTCCCTTGAAGAAAGCAATAGTGTAGCCGCTCCTTAAGAAGCCATTATTGGGAAAATTTCTCTAACCTTCTCATAGTCACTCATGCTAGTCATCTCTTGCTTGGATAATGCAATATGTTCCACATGGAGCTACCCTTGGAGTCTACTTGGGTGCTACAGATGGTCCAGAATGCAGCAGCTTGAGTAGTTATGGATGCATCTCAATTTGTCCATGGGAAACCATTACTTTGCAAGTTGCCATGGCTACCAATTGACTTCTCGGTGGAATTCAAAGTCCTAGTTGTCATCATAAAATTCTTCATGTATCACATCGTGGATAGCTGTAGGACCACCTGTGTCCAATTGATTTTGCTCATCTTATAGAGCTGGTAAACTGATGATGTTCCATGTCGCAACAATAAAACAGATGTGATGGGACCTCATAGACTGACCATCTTTCTGGCCACCCCAGGGGTGAAATGTAAAATTTGTTACTACCAGTTCTGTGGGCGTGGCTTGGTGGTGGGGGTAATGTGACTGGGTGGGCATGGCCAACTTTTTTTTTTTTTACTTTTCAAAGCATTTTTTCTAATGCTTTGAAAAGCCTCTGACGATCAGGCAACTCAGCTGGGATCGTCAGAGACTTTTCAAAGCATTTTTTAAACCACCTCTTCGGCCAAGAGGTTGCAGAAAAAAATGCTTTGAAAAGCCTCTGATGATCCCAACTGAGCCGCGCGATCATCAGAGGCTTTTTTTTTTTTTACTTTTAAAAGCTTTTCTTTGTCGGAAGAGGTTGTAGAAAAAATGCTTTTAAAAGTTAAAAAAAAAAGCCTCTGATGATCATGCGGCATGGTGGGAGGGGGGGGTGCAGGGATTTTTGCTACCAGTTCTCCGAACCACCTGCCGCCATCGCTACCGGATCGGGTGATCCTGTCTGAACCGGGAGCATTTCACCCCCTTGGCCAGAAAGCATTCCCCTCTAATCCACATGGCTCTGACCTTGATGATTTTTGGGATGCCTCAAAGACTTGGTTGTCAGGCAGGCTATGTTTTAGGCTACTCTGTGATCCTACAGATATTTTAGTTTGGGAGATGTTTTCTTATATGTGGTGTTTAATGTTATTATTTGTTTTGCTTTTAAAATGTGTTGATTAATTTACTGTATATAACCAAGGCTGTTTTGATGATGAAGGTCTTTATAATCTAGAATCTTATTTGCCATTATGTAGAGTCCACTTGGATTTACTGTATATGGGAAATAAATGGCATAAATAAATGGTAAACATTATGTGTTAATTTAATTTTCCAGTACCACATAAATTACATCTAGGATACTGAAGGAACTAGATGATGTTCTGGCCAAGTATTTATGTATTATTCAGGAGGACTGGTGAAATGTTATGTAACAGCGGGAGAGCAAATCCCTATCTTTAAAAGATCCAGCAAACTATGGATCAGGCAGTCTGAGTTCAATATCTGGGAAGTCCATAGATCATAAATTGATTAATCTGTAAGCACCTTGAAAACAATGTATTAATTACCAGAATGGATGACTAATTGTATCTCATTATTTTGATCAGATAGTTTTCATAACAGAATGTGGGAATCTATATTATTATAATATAGCTTTATTTCAACAAAGCATATAACAAAATATTTCCTATATGCTGATTAACTAGTTAATAAAATATGGGGTGGATGGCATGACACATAAGCAGATACATAATTCAATTGTTTGAAAATATGACTGAACAATGCTCATCACTAGTCCTCGTTAAATTTGAGGAATATATTGAGTGAGTGTGCCTACAAGAATCAGTCATGGATATTCTACACTTAAAAATGTTTTTTTTCTATAAATAGTCCTTGACATACCGCCATTCATTTAGTGACCGTTCAAAGTTATAACATAACTTGTGCCCATTTTTCACACTAATGACCATTGCAGCATCCCTATGGTCACATGATCAAAGGATGCTTGGTAACTGGTTCATATTTATGACAGTTGCAATGTCCTGGGTTCATGTGATCACCTTTTGTGGCTTTCTGACACCCAAAATCAATGGGGAAGTCAGATTGACTTAAAAACCATGTTACTAACTTAATAACTGTAGTGATTCATTTCAAAATTGTAGCAAGAAAGACCATAAAAGAGGCAAAACTCGCTTAACAACTGTCTTACTTAGCGATGGAAATTTTGACTCAATTGGGGTCGTAACTCGAGGACTACCTGTATTAAAAATTTAATTGAAGTGATGCAGGGAATATTTACAAAATCTGCAGATAAAGAGACACAGAAGAATGTAGGAGTAAAAATAAAAACAGGTTAATAAATTAGAAATATGACTTGAAAACAAGATAAAATTGATCAGAGTCAATTATAAAGTTCCTGACATGAATCAGAATAGAATGACATATACTTGGCTTGGCAGCAATATTTGTGAAAACAATCTTGATATATATCTTGACTACTGGGTCTGTTTCTAGGCACTATACTATACAGTACAGATGGTTAATATAGAGGCATACTGGAACAGGTTCAGCGAAAGGCAATGAAGATGACTATAGGATTAGGCACCAAGTGCTTCTGACTTCTTGGATGAGAAGCAAAACATCTTCAAGGAAAAACAAAGTCCAGTTGCCGTTTGAAAAAGCATCTTTGGGTCTCTATTATATGTGTTCTAGTATTATAATAAAAATTTAATTCCTAACTGTAGTTGTACAAACCTTGTGCCTAGTTTGTGCCTGCCTTTGGGGAGTCTGACAGCTAAAAAGACATATGAAAACATTCTTTAAACACCTAAAAGATGTCATATGGGAAGTCAAGAGTTGCTCTCAACCATTCTAGAGTGCAAGATTTGGAATGACAGATTTAAGTTATGGGGTGGAAGATTCCAAATGAATATTAGGAAATGTTCCAACAGTAAGAACAATGAAGTGAGTTGTCCAAAGCTGTGGTGGGAGTTGTCCAAAGCTGTGGCAAAAAAACAGAAAGAGTCTGGTAGCATCTTTCCCAACAAACACATTTTTAAAAAGGCATAATCCTGATCTCCTTTTATTGCCTCAAGCAGGGGCTTGACAATCTTCTACCTAGGTTGCTTTAATTTGGATTCCTGCAGTGAAATTGGAGTTGGTGGTGTGGTGTGGAGGTGTTAGACTTGATGGCCTAAACAGTTCTTCCAAGTATAATCTATGAAGCTAAAAAGCAGCTGGGGGAAGGTGGGGGGAAAGGAAAGAGTCCTATTTGATTAGAATTGATGGAAAGGGACTGAGAGGTAGGGATCTGTAGATATATCGCTGGAAGGAAAGAAAGTCTAGACAATTAGAAATGGCCTATGGCATTATCCTATGATTGGGAAGGGATGCTAGCGTAAAGGAGATATCCTGGGATGCTGAGTCTATATTGCCAAGTTGGGAGAAAAGAAGCTGCCAGAAGGAACCCAAAGCAGAGAGGCTGCTGACAGCAGAAAAAATGCCTGTAATTTTATAACCAACCTCAGTGCCTCCATTGGGGGCCATTTTTGTTGGCACTCAGGAGCAATCAGGCTGATGGAGTGATGAGCCTGCCAGAAGCAGGCATTGCTGATGGGCAGCAAAGATAGTCAGTGGATGGAAGAGCTACGGGTCTGTGTAAGAGGGAGAGAAGCATGGGTCAAACACAGGCAGCCCTCCTGGCCCAGCTGAAAAGCTGTCTCAGATCAACTGAAATCTGGAATCAAAGGACTAGCAGCTGTTAAATTAGACTCCCCTATTATAATAATATTGGGGCTTGGATTTTCAGTAATTTATACCTCTGCTCTAGCAAAATAAACAAACCAAATTCCCACAACAGGCATGCTTTTATATTGGGATTACTAGAGTTCTCATCCAAGTTTCTCAAATATTCCAGCTCACGTATTTCTAGAATCCCATAGCTTAATATTATTTTGTTCACCCAGGTTTATTTCCCTAGTTGTCCAGCTTTCCTAAGATGGCTGAGAGGTCTGGGAATTGTAATTCAAACAAATATGGAAGACATCAGGTATAAAGGCTGGGATTAATCCAAAAATCACCTAAACAGCATTATTTTTAGGGAGAGACATTCTACTCCCCACACTTACGCCTATTAAGCCAGCAATAACCTCAATAGCACCAGTGCCCACGGTAGTGTAAGGGATATCAGGATCAGGAATGCCAGCATTCTCAAATATAGCATTTGTATAAAACCAGATCTGTTAATGAAGAAGCAAAGACATAAGTACGTGTTGGTCTGATTTGTATTTAGATTTCATAACTGTTGGGAAATTCATTCTGAGAACAGCTTATCACAAATAGGAAACTATTATATAAGTCCAGCCAGTTTTAATAATACATACATCTATTCAGTTTTGTTAATACAGCCTTCCTGCCAGCATTTCAGGGTTTCAGGCAGGAATCATACAAATTTGTACAGTCTGGGAAGTGAACATGAGACTTTTGTATTCAAAGCATATGTTGTGTTACTGAGCAATGGTTTTCTTCCTGATATAATACTAATACCTGATTACATTCCCTAATATGATACTGATAATAACTGGCAAAGGAGCTGAAATGGTGTAATAATTAAAAGACTGGAATATTTTACTTATGAAGAACTGCTACAATATTGGGATCTGTTAACTGAGAGCCAAGATGTGCTAGGGAGTGCATCAGAGGTAGTATTCAGCAGGTTCTGACCCATTCTGGAGAACTGGTAGTGGAAAATTTGAGTAGTTCGGAGAACCGGTAAATACCACCTCTGACTGCCCCACCCCCATCTATTCTCTGCCTCCCGAGTCCCAGCTAATCGGGAGGGAATGGGATTTTTGCAGTAACCTTCCCCTGGAGTGGGGTGGGGATGGAGATTTTACAGTATCCTTCCCCTGCCACGCCCACCAAGCCACACCCACCAAGCCACGCCCACAGAACCGGTAGTAAAAAAAATTGAATCCTATCACTGGAGTCCATAATAAGATGTAAGCACATTGTGAAAATATGAACAGAGAAAAGGCAACATATTGCTTTATGTTTTATATTGCTTTATATTGCTTTCGATTTTATTTTAAACTGGGATGTCTTGAATTATCTAGGACCAGAGTGTTTAGTATATTTTAATTGGTTTTTGTTTAATTAACATTTGTATTACATGTATTTTTTATCGTTCGCTGTTCACCGCCCTGAGTCCCTCAGGAATAGGGCGGTATATAAATTTAATAAATAAATAAATAAATAAATATCTCCTTTCACAAATACAATTGTTAGAATTCAGGGAAATTTAGTGAAACTAAATGGGAAAGCTTCACAAGAAAAGTATCTCCTCACTGAATGTAACACAAAACTACTGAACATACCTGAGTTACAAAATTCCAGATGACCACTAGATGGCTGGAAAGTGTTATATATGCAGCCGGGACTTGGTAGTCTTATTATAGTGGGAAATAGAGCTGAGCTACATGATCTCTTAGTCTGATTCTGTTGGCCTCTTATGTTCTTATACACCATAAACAGCATTTTCAATCTTTGAATAGAAATCAGTGGGCCTTAATTAAACTAGTTTGGGACTCTGGCTAACCTTAAATGCCTAGGCTTGGAAGCTAATTAGGATTGGGAAGTTGGAAAAATTCTCAAAATATCCCAACCCATTCCCACAAGGTTACTTAAAAAGCTACATGGGTATCAAATCACAGGATTTGACTTTCAGAAGAAGAGACCTATCTATACTTACTAAACGTTTGTGTAGGAACATCACCCAATTTTTGCTTTATATATAAGTTTTGAAAATAGGAAAATTGTCCTAGCACATAAAGTTATTGTGAGAATCATTACTCCTAATTATTTGAAACATGCAATGTAAAATGGATTAATGACTTTGAGCTGAAGAAAGTCTTCTCAGCTATCTCTCGGATCTCTTGGTGGTCAGTGGTCTGTGCTTTTCTTTCATCACAAAAAAAGTTGGTAAAAATAGACAGGGACCCGAGAAAAAAGTTTGAAGTGGGAGAGAGGAGGGACAGGTTACAATCCACTTGATTCTGACGTTAGAGAAGGTAAAAGAGGATTAGCAGCACCACAGTATTGTGACTGCACTCTAATCCCAAAGATTATGACCTAACACATTTGTTCTTACCGCATCAATTCCAGAGAGCTGCATACCCATGTTGATCACTACTACAGACAGTACTTGCCATCGCACAGAATGATCTGAGAGCAGTTGCCATACAGACACAGCTTTCACTGAGGCAAGTGAACGCTTTTCTTCCTCTATCTCTTCAATGGTATCCTGCACATTATGTTTACCAAGGAACAAGCTTAATGCTGTAGGATGAGAACGACAAGTTAGTCTACATTCCAGAACACTGCAGGATGGGTCAAGGGACAACCAGTGGACAGACTGCAACTTCCAAGGTTTTCTGGACCCAAGTGACAACATCAAAATCATTGTCAAGGGCAAGAGGCAAAGGTTGCAACCTTTCATGTTATATCTCTGCTTTGAATGTAATATAGAATAATATGCAGATTAATATAGAAATATGCAGATTAAATTTAATATATGTAATAAAAATATATTGCTCATAAGCTGTGAAATTCTTAAAGCTCCTCAAATTGGTGACCTCCAGATATGGATTTTAATTCTTATAACTCCCAGCCAACGTAGGAGCCGAAATCATAGGAATTCAAGAAATCAGGAAGGCATCAGTTGGGAGGTGGGGGCCTGACAGAATTTATTTTATTGTTGAGCCCATCATTTTTGGTCTGCTCTGGCAAAAAAAAAAAAAAAGTGTTATTGAACTAGAAGAATTGAATAGGTGAACCTGGATAACGTTGGGCCAGTCACCTTCTCTCAATCCTAGGAAAGAAGCAATGGCAAACTACTCCTGAAAATCATTGCCAAGAAAACTGTAGGGACTTCTTGGGTCTGAGAATTGGACATGACTGAATGAAAGGTAAAAAAAACCCTATAACCATCAACATTTCCTGGTCAGAGGTTGCACTTTGAGTGAAAAGCTTAGGGCCAGGAAAGCAACTCCATATGGTTTAATTTACATCATTACTAATTGTGTCTCTGTGTGTGACATTTATAGCAATTCAATATAAATATAATAGATATTAATTTTATCTTTATAACAGATAAAAAAATTATTTCAGTAAATGATTGTTATCAGTGAGGCCAACTCAAGCCTCAAATGCCAAAATGCATTAGAATGACCAGACGTTTAACGAAGCTGCACTTGGCTTTAATAGAGGAAATACAGTAGATAAAAATACGTTGCCATTTGAAACATTGTTAGGCGTTAAATTAATTCTGCTGCATTTTCAAGTGCTGGGTGATGTATTAAAGAGATGCAAAGGGAACCTTAATTACCTGAGAGCCAAAGAAGATTTTTTAAAAAAATCTATTTAAAAGGCTTCTATGTCACTTCAGTAATCACAACTCAAAATGGCTCATGGAAATAATATAAATATTAGAGAAAAACAACAAAAACTTTTCTGACAAACTGGAAACCTATATGACTTTTTGCTGAAAGAAAAAAATAATATGATGATTTATGGGTTTTAAGATTAAAAATAATGTGTATTTAAAAAGAGGCTGAAGGAACATGTAACAATATTGAAGAGGGAGGTGACATTGTAATTATCAAAAAGAAAGTTGGAAGTAATTGTATTTCATTTTCCTGCAACTTGGCACTCCCCGGAAATGTTGGACTATGACTTCTATTATCCCCAGTCTCTAGACTGTTGAGGAAGATGGGCTTAGCATTTAAGACTATAAAAACCAGGAGCTCTTCAAAAAACACAATCTTGATAGTTTTATTTTGTTTCGAATGTAAGAGTAATGGAGAGGAGATCCAAAATATTGCATAATGTTCAAATGATCAGATAGGTTAATACTTGGTACTCAGTCAGTACAAACAACAAATTAAAATATAAAGCCCAAACCCCTTTCAGTATTTTGAACTTCTTCCATGTGTTCTTGGAATATAGATTATGTCAGTGGGCAATATTAACCAAGGAAAGAGAGTTAATGACAAAGAAGGCAGCAAAAATAATATTGTTCCCGGGCATCTCTGGAAGGTGTCCCTAGATGGTTGTCAAGTTCTCACCTGGATCTGGTCATGATAAAAACAAATGAGGCCCAGTACAATCTCTGTCCCTACTTGACATTGGTTGGGAAAAAATAGCAGTATGTGTTCAGCTTACCTTCAACAGCTCCATGGATATTATTTTTCTCAATAAGCAAGTAACGAGGACTTTCAGGAAACCAATTCAGTAGCAAGAGCTGCAGAAAAGCAGGAACCACCACTACAGAGAGGAAAAGAGGCCAATAGGCATCCTAGAAAAAAAGTTCCCAACAGAAGTGAAGAGTAATTCACATATTCGCTTGTTTAGTTATTAGCATTTGTCCCAAGCAAAGATAACATGTGCTGTAGATAGGTGTTCAAGATCTTTGCCCATGATCAGCTTTCTTTCTATAGTTGCTGCCCTTCATCCTCCTTCATGAACTGGATAGTATGACTGGATTATTGGAAAAGTGGATGCATAGGTAGAAATTAGAGTGGACAGAACAGCGTGTGTTATTTCTGGTGTGTGAAAAATAATGGCGTCAAGCAAGGCCAAAGTGAAAGACTGTATTTAACTCACAGGCACATATGCATTACACAAGAAATAAACAGCTTTATGAGCAGAAACATTGGGAAGCAAAGGGTTTTGTGAACTACTTGCAGAAGTTCTGTATGCTTGGAGAAGCAGGCAGCATGGAGAAACGAATTGGACTTCAAGGAAGCCAAGTCCATTTACCTTATCTAAACCAGCAGGAGAACAACTGTGGGGTAGAAAATGGTGCTCTTGCCATTTCTTCAGTTTACTTTCCAAACAACGGAGGGACTACATTTCACTGGGTGCTCTACCCTAATTCATTTCATCCAGAAAGTGAAAGTATAGCATTTACCTCCCCCAGAAGTTCTGGAAGGCCCAGGACTTGGGCAGAAAAGACCCCCAGACAAATGAAGATGCTTGGAACCAGGCCCAGGAATCCCCGGAGGTTCTTTGGGGCAATTTCTCCCAGGTACATGGGCACCACACTAAGACAGATGCCTAACAGAGGGATAAAAAAAAAGAAGGAAGATGATGTATTTTCAACATTTTTATAGCTGATATCATACAATATTTGATAATTTAATCCCATTCTGTAAAAGCCACATAGAGTTTCTTGTGATTGAGGTGGCATTCAAGCTGACAACTGAATAAACAAAATAAATAATTAAAAAGTCACCTTTCCAGTAAAAAGATAAAAATGTGACACCATTATAATTAGTTCATTATGGCATGACATTTCTTGGGAAAACAGCCTAATTCAGACTGCTTATGAAATGAATCTGCAGTCAATTACTTAGGAACATGGTAGTTTTTTTTAATGTCAAGGATTCAATTCCTGAATTAAGAAGGTGACATTTTTCTTTTCATTTCAAGACAAGCTCAGCAGGGAACTTTATTTGCAAATGAAATAGCTAGCTCAACCTTCTTCAATCTGCTGTCCTTCAAATTGGGCTGCAGTGCCCATAATTTCTAGTCAGTATCTCATATCACCTGGGAATTTTGGAACCTGTAGTCCAATATACCTGGAAGACACTAAGATGGAAACGGCTAGCGTAAATGCTATTTTGTAGCGGAGGCCTATTTTCTGGTTGCCAGAAGGTACAGAGCCCCAAAACCAGTACATGGGGTAAGAGAGGGAAAAGGAATTATTTTCCATCCAACTCTGAGACCTGCACATTTGTTGCATATATGCCCATTGATTTGACAATCATTTATTATTATGCCTACAGCAATGGTCTTTATAGCATTTAGGACTGCTTTCGTTCAGAATGATAATTTTGTTTATTTTCTTAATTAACTTTACATTTGCATAATGACAATCCTATACATTGTAACCACAGAGAAATCTGGTGCAATGCAAAGAGCGGGAAGACCAGAGATAGGCTACATATGTCTCCCTAAATTCTGCAACAGTTTGCAGCTTCAATAAAAGCATTCCAAAACCACAATGGGATTAAAAGATCAATGCTTCTATAAAAACATTGCAAAAACCAATCTGTGTGCTTGACTTGCTTTATGGAAACACAAGGGAGAAAGCATATTGATGCAGCAAGAGAGGTCCTTGGTGGCCTCTGAGCTTGGTTGTTTTCTTGCAGATGTCTCATTACCCAAACTAGGTAACATCATCAGGACTAGCACCACCAAGGTCCCCTCATTTTAACCCCGAGCTACAAATATTCTCCTTTATTAATGCAGCAAAATCCTACCAGAATGAATCCCTATGATGAAGCGCCCCAAAATGACCATTTCAGGGGATCCCAAGTAGCGGCTGAATCCCATTAACATGCCAGCCAACAGAACAAGGAAGTTGCTACGGATCAAAGTGCCATTCCTAGTAATGAAAAGACAAACATTTTAATTGTTCTCATATTTTTCTCTTCTCCTTCTGCCTCCCCAAAATTGTTTTACCATAATCCCTTTTTCTTCTTTATCCTAAAAGAGATTGGCATTCCCCTTTCTTAATTCCCATGAGGACTATTTATCATACGGAATGAGAAATAAACTGACCAGCCAAACAATTCACTATATGCGCCTGTAGCTAGTTTGATGACTCTGATACCAAAAACTTAGAGTAAAAAAAGAAGAGCTTGCTAGAGCATAAATACAGATATTGTTCTTATGACAGCATAAATGATTCAGAGAAACTTTAAATTAAATGCAGGGCATGTCTGAAAGGCAGGCAAAAAGGAATGGGTCAGGCTTTTCTCGGTATGTCAAGCTGATTAACTCAATTATCTATTTAATTATTTTCATTATTTAAATTCCTCCTTTAACAAAATGAAGTTCTAAGACAACCCAAGGACAATAAAAAGTGCTCATTTATCTTGAAAGTTAATAAAGAGAAAATATATTTAAATAATTTAATTTACTATAAGCAAGTTTTCTTATCCTGGTAATTTTCTTATCTGTTGTTCTACAGCAAACATCACTCACAGGCAGAATAATGGGGATATTCTCCATGCAGAATGAAAATTGTAATTTAACACACTTGAGTGGGACGATCAGATTAGAAAAAAATGTCCCAGGTGTGGCAGTGATTTCAGGATACATCAGGATATTGTTACTAGCTTGCATGCTCTCTATGTATAATTGAGAATCGCTACCTTGTTTTTTATTTATTATTAACTTCATTGGTCCCCCATCTTACTACAGGGTAATTCTTGTTGGCATAGCTCTTACCTCCCATATTGGGTGACCAGAATTCCCACAGGAAATGACCCCACCAAGCCTCCCAGGGCAAAAATGGAGACAGTCAGGGAGTACATGAGGGTGAGAGGTCCTTGCGCCAGACCCTCCCCATAGCGTTGGTACCATGTTGCATTGTAGAAGGCTTTGATGTGCTGCAAAAGGAGGGAAAGGGAGACAAATAAGGAGAAGATTGCCACAATCCTAGCTCCACATTTACCATGGTCAATTTTCACAATGCCTGGGTCAACTGAAGGCCAGTGATGCCTGAAGGGGATAATATCAATCAAAACACTGAAGCACTGGAAAAAAGAAGAGAGCTAGCTCTTCTGTTAAGGTCAGGAAATGGAAAGGGCTTTCTGCCAGATCAGTGATGGGAAATCTTGATAGTTTCTGAATTGTAGCTTCATCAACCCAGTCAACAAAGTCAATGGTGAGAAATGTTGCGAATTATAGTTCAAGAACAAAAGGCCAATCCGTTGCACAACTGCATTGTTTTGCTTGTTTAGGAGAAGAATAATTCCGCTTTCCACCTTCTATTCTGTCTTACCACTGCTGGAGAGTTTACCACAGCCAGATTGAAGCCATACAGCATGGAGGACCCAAATGATGACAGGAGTGTAACAGCAAGAAGTGGAAAAGTCAGATGCTAGGAGAGACAAATAAGAAAAGTCAGGTCAGAAAAGGAAATATGTGATTTCTCAAAAGTCATCTTTAAGAGTCATCCTATGTAAGTCTGATGTCTTTTACATAAGATGGCATTACAGTTCCCAGAATTTCAGTCAGCTGGATCATATTATCTGAGGAAGACCTGTTCAAGCCATTATGTTTAACCTGAAATGGCACCAAGCATGTATTTTCTAGGTTGGCTATTATTGAATCTCAATAATTAAAAAATGAGAATCAGCAGGGAAGAATGGAATTGATTTTCCGATATACTTTAATTCTATACTTTGATTATGGAAAACATGGACAATAATTTACAAAATATGCCCTTTTCCCTTTAACACTGGCACTAATTAGACTAGGAATAGGAAACTACTGGTCCTCTGGAATCTGCCTTATCTTGCTGCATTCAGTACAGTAGTTGGACTCATTTTGGCAGTCATAAGTCAACAATATCTGGAAAGTCACTGGATCCCTCTTTGTAGTGGCAAAACCCATAGAAGTCAACTAGAAGAAACTGTTGTTGATACGTAGGTCTTCTACTTTACAGAAGGCAAAGTAAATCTGCAGGAGGGATACCTCTATAGGTTCCCCTCTCAGAAAATGAGAATGAGGAAACGTTTAGACTCTTCAAAGTAATTGAAGATAATGGGATAGCAATTAGATAGTACAAAATATGTCAGAGGGAGGAATCCAAGTTTATTGACAGATGGTGATTGATCAACAATGGGAATTAGGCATGCCTCTAGCCAGTCTATAAATAGAACTTTTCCATTGTAGCTAATGCTGAACATTGAATTTGGGACCTAGAGAAAATGGACACACATTGACCAAATCTTAAATATCATAGCAATAGATTGTATTGTATATTTAGAATGTGATATTGGTCAAATATCTTAGGTAGAATAAGCAACTACTTTACAACTGATTTAAACATTTAATATTTGTTCTGTTATTTTAACCAAATGGATTTTCCACCTATCACCTGCCATCTTAATTCTGATTTCTAATAACAAATCATATTGGGAAAAAAAATCCAATCATAAACATACACCATGAAGGCGAAACATTAAAAAAAGCATCAATGCTTCAATACAAATTTCAGCATCCAAGAGAAAAAAGAACTATGGGATATCAACTGCATAATTGTACAATAGATCAACCTGTGCTCTTGCGTTATCCTCAAAGTTTTCTGAAAAACCATTTTTCACTTTGTGTTGGAAAGGGAATAGTGACAAGGCAGGCAGATGACCTTGGAGAGAACCTTCTACGATAGGGTTTGCATGATTAGAGTTCTTTATTTTTCATTACCACCATTACACTTCAAATTGCCAGAAGACATGGAGCTGATCCCCAGGATAAAGCTTGAAAAGTAAAAGTCACTAATCTGAATTGGATCCCAAAATGAGAAATAAATAATAGAAAAGATGTGTTCTTTCTAGTGAAATTTCTGGTATTTGTGGGATCAACCGAATGCTCATCAAAATACACTGAATAAACTAAACTAGATGTTACAGATAGTGCTCAACTTATGACCATAAAGGACTGTCCCATCATGGTTGTAAGTTGCAATAGTTGTAAAATGGTTCACCCATGTGACTAACCTGATTTTATGACCTTCTTTACAGCAGCCATTAAGTGAACACTATGGACATGATTACTGTGATCCTTAAATCACAGTGGTTTGCTATGAGCCAGTTTTGCCAAAAATAACTAATTTTTTCAAAGGTTTAGATTCCTAAAAATTGTTTGGTGATTATGATAGACCCCTCCAAACTGAAAATAAATATGATTTCAGAATGACTGTATCATGTAAGATTCTTGAGAAATATGAAATTGACTTTTAATGGCTGTAATGTATTTAATCACATAATTTTTCCGACACACTGCATGAGTTCAACAGGGCTAAAAGTGTTTTGCTACTGATTTCCATTTGTACTCAGTGTCTGGTGCAACTTGCTGCAGTGTCCAACAATAACCAGCCAGCATTGATGGATTCCAGTTGCCCTGATATCATTTTTCTATTATGGCAATGTCCTGGTGAAACTTGCATCTACATTTTGAGGGAAGAAGTCCAAATGTCAATGCAGAAAATAAATCTTCAGTGCCTTTCATGGTCTTGTATGCCGTAAGAAATTTGTCAACCAGCTGAATATAGTTTGGTGCTCTGCAGTTGTCCCAAAAATTCTCAGTTCTCAAATGCTTTCCAGGAGATTTTCTCTAGCTCCATCAACAGATCTTCAAACTGCTTGCCATTGATGATGTATCTGATCTGTGGACCAACAAAAATGCCTTCCTTAAACTTGGCATCAATTATTATTGGAAACATTTGTTTCAACTAACAAAAACCTTCACCTTCTTTGTTCATCACTTTCACAAAATTTTTCATTGGTCCATGTTTTATGTGAAGTAGAGGCAAACATTTCTTTGTTGGGTCAACAAATGGTTCATGTGCCACATTTTTCTGTCCTTGAACCAAATCCTTTTGGAATGGCCATTTCTTTATAAAATAATGTAACTATTCACATATGTAACAAAGTACTTGGTATATAGAGCTGCATTCCAAGGAGCAGAGCCACTATTTTTAGATCTCCTCAGATATACCAGTTGTTCTTGGTGTACTGGATGTGCTTCAACAATAATTCCATGTTTTCGTATATTTCTTTCAGGTGTAAAGCATAGCCAACACATACTGAAGGATGTATATTACCATTGTGTAAAAACAGAAGATTTCTATAAAATGGTATGTGATAGGTTATATTACAGTTATTTTTGTGATTAGCAGCCAAAAATCTGTAAGATACATCCAAACGTGTTCAGGAAGCATATTCTTTGCTGTCCAGTGAAATCAGAAGTAAATGCTCTTTTTTGGCAAAACCATCATAAAATGCAGTCTTTTGATTGTGAGACAGTGTAAATGGCTGGAAATGTGGGCCGGTTGCTGAGTGCCCAAAATGTGATCACATGACCATGGGCAGGTAGCCATTGGAAATTTGGAACTGGAACTTCCAATGTAAGAATTTCCAGGGAGGCCTATTATAACTTCAAAAGTTTGTTAAGCGACCAGCCGTAAGTTGAGGACCACCTATACCACCCCATGAGCAATAGCGGCTTTATCTGCCTTCTCCAATATACTCAGGAGCCATAAAAACCTAAGATGATAGAAGGCATGCCTGACTAGAGGATCACCCAAGAGTAGCTCTAAATTGTTAGCCAAGCTCTGAAAAGCAAAATACAGCTCTAGTGCACCAGGTCAACTGGTAATATTTCAATACTGTATATTATTTAACCTTTTGGAAAGAAGGAAATGTGTATACTGTGTATACACATACAATGACAATAAACTTTATTTATTAAAAGATTTATAATGAGAAGAAATGGAAGAGAATATCATAAAAAGAAACATGAAAAATTGAACATATTTAACTAATACAGAACACTGGAAAGAAAGAAAGGGCCAGCTATTAGACAGGGGTTTAGCTAATATTTGTCAGGAAATATAGAGAGACAATATGTTTTGTAACATGTTTTATATCACCCAACTTAACACCACTGAAATTGCTGAGAAAGATATGCAGAAACCTTCTCTAAAGCAACTTCTAGCAGCTAAGATGGACCTATTCTGCCCCACCCCCGATGGATCCCACACATGTATACACCACAAGAGTGAGGATATTGTAAAGGGGGGCATTAAGAAAGGATTGATTATGCTTGTAGGTATAGGAGCATGCAATTCAGTCGAAGAGAGAGAATTAGTAAAAATACAAGACAAAGGAGTAAGATGGTGGAAAGGAAAATGACTTCTTCTTGCCTTCCTTAACCTCCTGAAGTTTTGACTTAGTTTTTTCATGCTTGCCCAATATGTCAAGCCACCAAACCATTACTATGTGCTCTACCACTCCAGAGTTATATCAGGTTTCATTACAGGCAGCATATTTGTGAGTTGCACAACAGAGCAATGTGGTAACCACTGAACTTGGCCAAGAATGAATGCACAGTGACAGATTATTGGAGCTGCAGCTAATCAACATTCCAGGCTAAATGGTACCTATTAGGCTATATTAGTTCAGCTTTTACTTTCTTCATGGTTACCTATTTTATACCTCAGTATTGGCTTCAGAACTCTTGGAAGTTCTTAAAGTATGATAGTTCGGCCAAATTTGGGAAAGAAAACGTCTCACCATCACTCATTATTAGTAGCAATAGCACTTACTTATATACCGCTTCACAGTGCTTTATGCACCCTTCTCTAAGTGGCTTACAGAGTCAGCATATTTCCCTCAACAATCTGGGGGCACTATTTTCCCAACCTCAGAAGGATGGAAGGCCGAGTCAAGCTTGAGCCGATGAGAATCGGCTGGCAGTTGGCAGTCAGCAGGCTGCAATACTGCATTCTAACCACTGTGCCACCACAGCTCTTATATATTAATCAGCAATATATACATTTTTAAAAAAAAAATCCTCCCAATGATTGAAAGAAAATAAATAGGGGATGAATTTAGAACAATGATGAATAACTTTTACCGAAACTCATTTCAACATTTCAACTCATTCAGCCACCTGTATGCAATGTGATTTGAAAAATCCCAAGGTTAGGGCATTTTTTCCAAAGACCTATTTAACAGCAATATAAATACAAATTGTTACTTCAGAGAAAGTGACCACTGCAACTGGAAAGATCTTAAATGCTCAAATCTACCATACATTTTGGTTTTAAGTTTTTCAAGCTATATCTAGAAGAGCAGGAAGCAGAGGTGAAATGCTCCTGGTTTGGACCGATCCGGTAGCGATGGCGGCGGGTGGTTCAGAGACCCGGTAGCAAAAATCCCTGCCCCCCCCCATGCCCAGCTGAGCCGCGCGATCATCAGAGGCTTTTTTTCTTTTAAAAGAAAAAAATGCTTTTAAAAGAAATCAAAAGCCTCTGACGATCAGGGAACTCAGCTGGGATTGTCTGAGCCTTTTAAAAGCATTTTTTTTACAACCTCTTCGGCTTTTAAAAGTAAAAAAAAAAAGCTGGCCACACTCATCCAGTCACATTACCCCCCCACCCCATCCAGCCATGTCCACAGAACCGGTAGTAACAAATTTTACTTTTCACCACTGGCAGTATTCCACACAACCCAGAACACAGAGTAGCTGGGAAAATAGCCTTGGCCTAGATTCTTAGATGGGGTGTAATTAAAATTCCAGGTGACTACTTCCAAAATGCAAGATCATAAGACCACTCCCCCTTGAAAGGAAAAAAGAATCGGGCAAGTGGCAAATAAAAAAGTAAAAAAATAACAATCACTTACCCTTGTAATCTTTCTTGGGAATGCAGACATGGGGCTGTTGTCCATTTGTGAAAGATAGCCCGGCATCTTATGACTTGATAATATGATACAAGCTTGGTAAAAAGAAGGGGAATTGCCTGGTTGTGAGCTGCGCAATCATTTCAGTAAGTCATGAAGAGAATTTTTCGTGAGAAAAAGAAAGATGAAGACAGAAAAAATAATAATAGAACCTTGTAAATAAACTCCTAGCCCAGAGCTCCCAGCCTCTGCCAGATGACAAACAAGAAGGAAAAGTTATTTACACTGGGGCCAAACTAAGTAAAGAATGGGCGAAGGAAGAAAGATGCAAGATGGGGAAGAAAGTTCTCTTTTAGATAATTTAATAAAAAGAGGAGCCAATCACATGATGGACAAAGCGAATCTTATTAGGTATTTGGAACTGCCCAGACCACAATTAACTATCTCTGTGCTTGGATGATAGCTGCTGCAAGGAGAAGAATGTACTGAAGCAGTTTTTTTTAAAAAAAGACATAGAAATAAACAAATATCAGACTCACATTCTAATCAACCAAACTTGATGTTTAGTCTGACCTAAATAATGTTGTCATGTTCTTTCTTACCATTCCTTGGAGTTTAAGCATGTTTCTTGACCTGTATCATTTGTGTATGATATATACAAACACAGTGATATAGTATGTACCCAGTGGTATATATACACACAGAGCACATCACAGCCAAATGTGAACGATGAAAATAGGGATGAAATAAACCACTTAGGTATTCCTTAATTTTCGATCTTGGATTATTCCATTTTGGACTATAACACCCCATAGCTTTCCAAATCATCTATAATCGCAAAATCACATGGAATCTTCAAATCACTTCCTGAAGTTTTTTCCATCAACTGCAATTACTGAAGATTTTCCTTAATTTGGAGCAGGAAATTAAAAAAAAAAATCATCATAAACATTAACATAAATCTTAATAGTCCTCCCAAATCAAGGAACAAAGGAAAATTTCACTTCCAGCTACATATGATTCAGGCTCACCACTTTGCACCCCTGACTTATTGCTTGTCTTGGCTGGAGATATCAATTGTAAATTTCAAAACTGCAGATACCCAGTACAGGCACAAAAAATTAACCCACTTCTACTTTAGATTTTTAAACATGGCAGTATTATTCAATAATATATTTTGTCAAGAAAACTGGAAGTCTGATACAGCCTTAGGCCAATAAAGGCTAGGAACCATATTATGAAATTTGTTCCCTCCCACTGCATTTATCTGAATTACACCTTGCTATTTTAAATCCTCTGACAGAGATTATCTACTTTAATACTGAGTGAGAGGGAAGTCTACTAATCTTGAATGACTTAAATTGAGGCAATTTTTCCCAGCTTGGACCCTCTAGATATGTAGGAATTTTTCACTTCCAGAAATTATAGGCAGCAGATCTGACGCAGCTGAAAGCACAGGACTAGAAATGAGGCGGCAATAAGGTATTTTGACTCCACATGTTAAAGAAACTCTTCCGTCTGGTCCTTCCTCAAAGTTGATAGGGCCCCATAGTTGCTGGCACTTTCAGAGTTCTTCCCCATGTAGCTCTTGATATTCTTTCCTCCCAGCCTATATTGCTTGGGAAATGCTGCTCCACAGTGTTCCTCTTGCTGGCAGCAGGGCCATGGCTGCTGCTCTTAGAGGGGTGAGGAATCTTGAAGCCCCATGACTTGATGGAAAGGGACAGTCTACAAGGGTGGCCTCAGGTGCCTCCTCCATATTCGTAGAATGTTTGCATAGATTTGCTCCGTTTCCCAATGGAAGCACTAATGTTTTGCATGATAATCTTGGCTGGCATTAAGAGGCTCTGCTGTGAGGTAGAGATCTATGCATCTCAGTATTGAGGTAAGGGAGGCGTGTAAATAAGCTCTAAACATTTGCTAAATACAGAATGTTTTTGACAATCATAAATACTCAAAGCATTTGCTAGCCTCAGATTCTGCTTCTCTTCCATATGAACCTTGTTGTTTGCATTGGCACATTATACAACACAACCCTTTGTCCTCCAATTTTCTGGCATTTTAAAGAATATTTCCTGCAGGGTGTGTCATTTTGGGTTTAAGCAGCAATATGAATGGCTAGTTTCAAAGAAAATTACTTGCTGCTTTTATATAGAATAAATTTATTTAGTTTTTTTAATACTACTTGAAAATATCCAAGCAGAAACTAATTTAGGAATCATGTGGCTGTAATCAATGAATTTCCATTTTGGAAGAACAGACAAAATATAGAAGTAAACAGCTTTGCCTACTTAAGAAAAACTTGGTTTGGCAAAGAAAAATAAGTAATGGCATAATAGGACCACTAACCATAATTCATTTTGAAGTTCTAGGTAGAAGTTTCTTTATATGGAAAGTTTTAGTTGGGTCAGTCACTTAACTTCATGTAGCAGGAAGACTTGACATTTCAGCATTGAAAGAATACAGTTTTCTCCTTTCCCAGCGCAGAGATTCTTCATTGTGCTCATAAAAGAATCACTTTGTACTGTATTTTATAGGGAGTGGAGGGAGCTTTTGCAGAGTGATAATTCTGCAAAGGTAATATATTACTTGCTGGCAACTGGCAACCCCTCCAGCTATTATAGCTGTCCAGTATATCAAATGGCAGCCAAGAAATCAGAATCTGTCCTTCTTCTCTTCAATCCCAGAATAATTACAATTGCATGCAAACATTTATGCACTCCTGGCTCTGTTTAACTTTGTACCATATCAAGGTTGGTCATCTTCTGTTCCTTAGGGGTTTATTCGGATGCACAATTTCATAGGTGATATCTAAACTTCCAACAGTACTTCAGCATTAATGTTGAGGAATGAACTTTATAAAACAGCCTTCCCTAACTTTGGGTGGTAGTCTTGAGTTGTGTTGGACTTCAACTTCCCGCTATCCTTAGCTTGGCATACATCTGATTGAGTTGGAGAACTTCAGCTTGAGCAAGGCTATTGCAAATTTTAAAATAATTGCAATGGTTGGGAGAGGGAAGAAACACATTTACCTGGTTTTGGCATTGCACAAATTTTATTTAAGAGCTGTGGTGGCGCAGTGGTTAGAGTGCAGTACTGCAGGCTACTTCTGCCAGCAGTTTGGCAGTTCAATTCTCACCGGCTGAAGATTGACTCAGCCTTCCATCCTTCCGAGGTGGGTAAAATGAGGACCCAGATTGTTGGGGGCAATATGCTGACTCTGTAAACTGCTTAAAGAGGGCTGTAAAGTATTGTGAAGTGGTATATAAGTCTAAGTGCTATTGCTATTTTCTTCTTTATGGCTTAATGTTAATTCAGCTACTGTAACTTGTGTCCAATTGTCCCTCATTAATCAATGAATAATGAAATTATGATTTATTATGTGAGAAACTCTTCAGTGATTTCTGAAACCAACTTTCAAGAATATTGGATCAATAAAATGAGTCTATTGGTCCTAGTCCCTCACATGTATTCCATTCTGATCTCAGAATGTGTAAGAGAAGAATGCCTCCAGTATGTAGATAACAGTTTGAAGAGATTCCTGCCTGATAAATCTGCATAGGTATGAAATATTATGACTGATCAATCATACGACAGATTTCCTTGTATTTTGAAGGTTCTTATTAATTCCATTTCTAGTCTTCATATTTCTTCTACTTTCTAATCAACGACCTGACTCTGCATCAACTTTTCCTCATGAATTAAATTATAAACTTTGGCAGTTTTCAGGGATTTTGTTTCTGAGCATAAATATGACAAGAACAATCAATTTTATATACTGAAACACTGCTACTGTGAAGCTTTATCTCCAGAACACTTAGACTTATATACTGTTCCATAGTGCTTTACAGCACTGTCTGAGCCATTTATAGAGTCAGCATGTTGCCCCCAACAATCTGGGTCCTCATTTTACTGACCTCAGAAGAATGGATGGCTGAATCAACCCTGTCAGGGTCAAACTCCTGCCTGTGGACAGTTAGAGCTGGCTGCACTCACTTCCTCACGCCCACCTGGCCTTGACCCAGTTGCACCCACCCTTCCACATGGCCTGGCTGCTCTGACTCATCCTTAGACCCTCAAGAAAATCCTAAAGAAAAATGAACTAAATGAGGTGTGCTATAAAATAAAAGAAGGGAAGAAAAGGGGGAGAAGAAAATATATAGAAGAAAAGGAGGGGACCTTTTCTTCTATGACAAGGACCTGCAAATATGTGTGATTACTTCCTTTTTGTGTGTGACTTTGAATCAGTCTCGATTCCTGGTGGCTGGTAATATTTTCAGAAGGTCTAGGACAACTCACAGAAGCCAGGTCAATGTGGCTAGGTGGATGCAACCAGGTGGATGCAGATAGGTTGACGTTCTTGACTCAGCACTGCTCACTCAGTGTGGCCAAGTGGGCGGGGACGGATCGGCGCAGAACACATCGCACTCGCTATTTAAACAAAAATGACCTATGCATCTGTACACATATCCACAGACCCATGATTCGTCTAACAAATTGTTCTACTAATGGGCTCCTATTATCCATTTATTTTTTTCTTCCCATTAATGGGCTGGCTTGAGCTAAATTTTAAATTGGTTTTAAATTGGGTTGTTTTAATTTACGGCCAGAATATCTAATTATCTAATTATTTTAATACTGTTTTTTAAATTTTGTATGTTTTGTTTTTACTTAGGCTGTGCACCGCCCTGAGTCCTATTTGGAGAAGGGCGGTATAGAAATTTAAACAAATAAATAAATAAATAAAATAAATGTCTGTAAGTATCTTCCAATAGATAGCAGGATACAATTAACTCTAAACCTCTAACCACTAACTTGTGCTGTATATAAGTATGTTACGTGATGTCCCTCCTTAATTTAGCCCTCCTAACATGGCTGAATGTTAAAAATAAAATCTGCAACTTTGGACTGGAAAATTGATTTCACTGTTCCTTCCCCTTATTTTAGAAGTAGATGCTTTCCATAATAGTGAATCTGAGTGCTTAAAAGTATGAGGGCTCTACCATTGGGAAAAATCGTTCCTGAAAATTAATCTGAATCCACATATATATGAAAAGTTGACTATGTATGCAAACAGAAGATGCATAAAAAGAGCAGTTAGGCCCAAGCTGAAACTTTGAAGCGGATGTGAATTGGTGAAGATGGCAAGAAAGTATAATCTAAATAATTCTGGATCTTACATGTTTGTATCAACAGCATTATTTAAATAGCTGCTTTTAGGATACCTTCCAAACTAATAATATAATATTTGAGTGAAATATCTTGTACGATCCAGACAGTGTAATAGGTTACCATAATATTAATAAACGACACATTCAAGGGGGACACTGTTGCAGGTCAGAACTATAGCATTTGGAATACAGACTTTTCATTTAAGATTCCAGAAATAAAAACACTTAGAAGGTTCACAGCTTAATCTTGTCTTTATATTCTTTTTTTTGATGAGTTAATTTTTTTTTAAAAAACACACTTATCATGACCCTAGCTCAAGTGAGCGTTAGTACATAAACTACACATCACCAAAACATAATCACAAAAATTCCAAAGCACTCACCAGTTCTAGAAACTAAAGAACAAAGAGCAGCGTTACAAATAAGACCACACCTTTGCTTGCTAATCACCTATGTATGGATTATTTGCATTTCCTGCAGTTGCAATAAACATATATTGGTCTTTGAGATATTTGTTTTAAAACAGGAACAAGTTATTAGAGACATTGCCATGATTCTGTTTTACCAGATTTGGAAGTAACATCCTAATTCCTTTGTGCTATGAAAAATAAAATACGATTGACAATTATACTTTTAGAGTGAAGATATTAAAAAGGTTTACTATTATTTTCTGTTTTGTAGATTAACAGCAACTTCCCTTTTCCCTTAGTTAAATTAGCCAAACCAATAGATAAGGATTGTCAGGGCTACACTTTTAAAAATATCTGAGGAGCATAAATTAACTGTTTCCTATTTAGACAAATGAGAAATTTGTAGCCCTCATTGTAGTGAATGTACCCTTAAAAACATGCAAAATAAATGTGAATTGCTTTGATCAAAGAGCTTTAGTATCTACAGTCCACCTTCATGGTTCTTCAGTTTTATTTTTCTCATGCAGCTCCTCATAGCCATAATAGTTTCACTATGCCTTGCTCAACATTTAATGTTGTCCTAAATCCTGAATATACAGTATATGCAAATAAAGATTAAGTTTAGATTCATTAGTGATTTGATTATTTTTTACTGTGAGCATTAAATGTTGTCCTTTTTATCCATATAAGTCAACCTATGAATCTCATGTACCTTTTCAAGAAAAGCTCTCTAATATTCTATGCAGATATTTCTGCATCTAGAAATGTGACTGTACCAATTTGTGGGTGTTCCAGAAAAAGCATAATAAAATATTACATAGCACAGACAATTATAAGGTTTATCAAAGGTCCCATTTCTGAGCTATCTGGTACCACTGAAAGGCCACTAAATAATTGTAGTTACTTGAATGAGCACTGTCTCTAAAAACAGAAGAGTTACAGCCCAATTACATTTTGTAAAACTAGGCAATCTCTTTGATATGTAACTTTACTGAAAAACAAAAGTCTTAAAAGGCTCTGGCTTTGAAAGCAGACAGGAACACCAACAGAAATTTCCCTATGGTGCTCTATAAAGGATGAGTTGCATCTATGCTTTATTCCAGTAGGCATGATATAAATCAGGAGGAAGCCAAAATTATTTTATCAGAGATGCCGCTTCCTGAATGTGCATTCCAGGCATCTGAACCCTGTTCGAGTCAGCATGAAGGGGATAATTGTGCTTTCATTACTATTGTTGGTTCACTTTCAGCTGGATATATGAGGTGAATGTCAGAAAAACGAAGGTTGAGGATTATCTAGATATAGTGTGAAGAACAACTCTTTGGAAGGTTTTCTATTTCAGGAAAATAATAATTTGCTTATTTAGGAAGGGAGAAAAAAAATAATTATGGATAGCTTGCAATGTTAAAATTGCATCACATAGGCTGCTTAAAATGAAAAAAATAAATAGTTTTAAAAGATTTTCGCAAACCAAGAGGGCAGCAGGAAATTACACAGACATACAATTCTCTTGATGCTGCTGTTACTAGATGTATTAGAATTTCACTCAGAAAGAGTAAAATCCCCAAACGTTTAATTTTGGGAAGTGTGAAATCCCACTACTCATACAGGCTCAAAAAGATTGTTATCTGTGGGACCAGAAAAGAGGAATACACATGAAGCCTTTTCCTTAGTCTCTTATTTAATCAAAATGGATTTTGTTAACTGCATAGTGGGGTGCTTATCCCATTTTAATGTTATAAACATACATAAATTCTTAATATAATCTTTAAAATGCTCAGCTTCCCTGATGATGGAACAGTGAAAATGCCTCAGCATTATTACAAGGGATTCCTTTATTCAGCTGTGTCCCTAATTGAACATTTTTGTTTTAAATAAACAATTGCAAGTATTAGAAATACAAATTTTTATAGTAAGAATTTTTCTTATGACTAAAATTTAGTTGTGCTCTAATTTGCTTCCACTTGTGAATATACAATTCACAATTCCAAGTTAGTATTCATTCCAAAGCAAAATTTACTTTAGATATGTGAGAATTACATATTTAGTCAATCCATTTAATGTTTTGAAGAGAAGAGAAAACACAAAGTGGAATATTTTGAGCCAATGAACCACAAAGCCTTAGTAGAGAACTGGAGATTCAACAGGAAGTCTCTTTCAAGTTCATGCAGGGTGAAGTTGAAAAGAAAAAGTCTTTCTTTTGTGGCCACTTTCATGGCAATGAATAATTTATCATCATTCTATCCAAATAGCTGAATTTCAGCTTTTTCCTTGAAATTGAGACTTTCTCTATGAAAACATATTTTGTACATCAAGATTATCTGGCCAGTATTTGGTTTGTTCAGAAACAAACAGCTTGGGGAAAATGTTTGGGGAAAACAGCAGGAAGGAGCAGGACTGAATATACAAGCAAAGTTGCGCTAGCCACCTCTTACCCTATTTAAAACTCCATCCGGGAGCAGGGGAAAACAATCACACATGCACAAACACTGAGGGCATTCAGGAGAGAAAACATTGTTTTGAATCAGTGCTTCCCAACCTCAGCAACTTTATGATATGTGGACTTCAACTCCCAGAATTCCCCAGCAGGTCCACACATTTTAAAGTTGTGGAGGTTGAGAAATGCTGATTTGAAGATGATAATAATCTCCTGATATTCTGTTCTGCATGTCGCACACATGGCAAAAGCTGTAGGCCTTGTACATAGGAGAACAATCATGAATGATTAAAGGGTAATAGCAAATTTCTAACCATAACTTAATTCTTTCTTCTCCTCTTGCTATAGGAAGTAATTAGTAGTAGCAAAAAAAATCTGAACTCAAAATAATTACGTTTTAGACACACTTGCACATTGGATTAGCATCTTTCCCAAGAAAACCAATGTCTCAGGCTATACTTCCTTGCTGATAATAGATAATATATGGGATGAAAAAATATAGACAGAACCAGCTGCCCAAATATTCTCTGTTCCCATCAATGTAGGTTCCACTGAGATTGCTACTAGGAATTTGCACAGGTGCAATTACTACTCTAGCAACATAAGCATTTTGTTTTCTGGAATTTCATACTTAAAAACAAACCTTTGCCAATTGAATTCAGCTCTTATCTTCCAATACCCCCAGTTGGTGATGGTGACTGCCTAATGGCCTTTAATGGGATTACTCAGAAATAAAGAACAAGTTTATTTTTATCTCTAAATCTGCACCAAACACTTTCAATCCCCCCTCCCCCCACACTATTTTCTCTTCCTACATAAACTGGGCTTCCAGCTTGAAGGCTGAAATGTGGAGTCATAATATCAATTATTTTATAAGTTCCTTTCCAATTAGGTGGGAGAATACAAAAATGCTGGTCCATTCACAAATGATTCAAGTGGTTTGTAGGAAGAGTAAGATCTTTTTTGCGAGCATTTATTTAATATAGATGTAGGGTAAAGGTAGGAAGCTATAAGTGTGTAGGCAACCCTGTAGTTTCTGTAACTGTTTGTACTATGCCTTCCTTAAATATGGTATCCATCAAAACAAGGAAATCGATGATCAATAAACCTCTCCACTTAAGCAATATTAGACTTAAAAAATAAAACTTACATTTTCATTTACTAGCATCTCCCAGACTAACATTTGATACAGATAAATAAATGCAAAGGTCTTAATTGAAATTGTTTTAAACTCCCATTATGACCACTTAACTAGTTTCCGGCCACCTGGGCCTTCATTTGGCATTAACCTGGCAATTCTTTGCAGTCCAAGGCCATATTACAGTGAAAGAGAGGGACCATCTATATAAGTCTTAAAAGTAGAGGCATCAGCCTGCTGTTCCTCTCTTACTTGCTCATCAAAAGGGATCTCCCAATTGAATGAATGATGGTAATGATTTTTCTGCTTAAGAGCCAAGCAAGAAATTCTGACATATTAAATATATTTATAGGAAGTCAGCACGGGGATAAGAATTGTTGAGGGGACTTATTGTGAAGAGGGAAAGTGTGCACATCAGTCATTCAGGAAAGATAAAAGAAATCTTTGATATAGCAGCACCCAAGCAGTCAGCTGTGCTGAGAAGAACTTTTTTGAGATCAACTGCATGAGAACTTGGTTCCAAAAGCCTCTGAGAGCTTCTGCCTCTTCAGCACAATCTGTTTTGAAGATAAATCTTTTGCCCTGGCACTGGCAGATCATTTAAGTATTGCAGCTCAGTCTGAGGAAAAGAAAGACAAGAAAATAATTATTTGTCATTTATAAATTTGCAACTAGAACTTAATTTACGTGCTTTACAAATTAGAGAAGACTACATCATTAATTTTATTTGAATGAACATTTATATTTCTTTTGTACATTTGTCATATTAATCGTATACATGTAATGGATGAACACCTCTACAGAACTGAAAAAATTTGTTTCTGGGGGTACTAAGTTCTGTCCTTCTGCATTTATATGTAATGCCTAAAATATATTGAAACCTTTACATAACCTAAAATAAAAATCGTGAGTACAGTTGAACTTGCATGAAATGAATGTACATACAGCTCTGTGAATGTGATATAAATGTGAAGTGTACACCTGGAACACAACACTCTAATTGTCAGTGATTTTTGAGAATAGATCTGAGAAGAGAAAAAGACTGATAAATCCACAACATAAATGAATGAATGAAGAATTAAGAAGAGAATTAGAAAAGACACCATCAACTTGTACTGCATTTATTCAACCTCTCTGCTGCAGTCTGAATGACAGGCTGAGGCCTACAGATCTTCTTCAAACAAAGGCTGTATTATAATATAGGTTTAATAGAGACCATAAGTGATTGCTTTCGATAACTGATATATTAGACTCCATTCTTCCATTTCTGAACATTTGAAAGTCATAAGACCTTTTGTTCATCACAACCTCTGTGATTCACACAAGACAGATGAGTTTTGTTTTTTTACCTAAAAAGGCACGCTTGATCGTGAGCACACTGGAGATAGGTCTGCTAAGCATTCTTGTTCAAAGCAACCATTCTCATATGTTTGCCCAGGAGGAGACTACTCTTAAGGTGTATGGTTAAAGCTGATGGTCTTGTGAAAGTGACAAAAGATACCTTATCAATGAACTAACAAAAGAGACTAATGGCTGCAATTCACCTAATTTGAGAAAGGCTTGTTGATAGCAAGAAACTCTGACACAAATCTAGTCCATACAGTATGGGGTTAGATAAGAGGGGGAAAAGCCTAAAGCATATCCAAATGATTCGGTTCCATTCCAACTAATTGCTCAGTTTGGGAATGACAGAGGGAAGTGTCAGAGTGACATTTCAAAATAGCTTTGAGAAGGAAAGAAACATCCAGTGGTAAAATGCAACTATGTATCAGAGCAGCTCATCACAACCCACAAGACAAAGTTTAATGATTTTGCATGTGAAAGTGATGCCAAATGAGCCGAGGTGGCACAGTGGTTAGAGTGCAGAACTGCAGCTACTTTAGCTGACTGCTAGTTCAGCAGATCAGCGGATCAAATCTCACTGGCTCAAGGTTGACTCAGCCTTCCATCCTTCCGAGGTGGGTAAAATGAGGACCCAGATTGTTAGGGGGTAATATGCTATTTAGTATACTGTCTTTGATGTAAGCCGCCCAGAGTCCTCGGAGAGTGGGCGGCACAGAAATATGACTAATAAATAAAAATAATTAGAAAACCTGTCTTAACAATAAACATAAAAGACATGAAACCATTGGCTTGAAGGCCTTTCCATTACACCCATCATCAGCAAGTTCCATACTACGGTAGAATAAAACTGGATGGAATGAAAAAGTCAAAATTTGAAAAACCTTTAAAGAAACATCTAATAGTGGAATATGTGGAAAATGATACTCTTTGAAAGGGGCCTCTAGAGGTAGCTACAAGGTTAACCCTGGAAGAAGGGTGGGAAGAGATAGGAGGAAATCTAGAATATGTTTAAGGAAACAATTAAGCAGGTTTATGCCTTTATAGCCACAAAATTTGGGAATCATTAACATTATAATTTTTTGAATTTCTACGGTTTCTATGCTGCATTCATAATCTAGTGGTGTTTGAGAACTCAGTCTCTCTGATGTTCCCAAGTGGATACTGAGGGTTCAGATGTTAAATTAGGTTACTGCATTACCCTTTCTTCGTGTGAATTAGGGTATGGTGTGCATGGTGACAATGGAATTCTGTTTAGGTCCCACGGAGGAAAAAAGCAAACCAAGGATGAGGGAATGATATAAGGGCATAAGCCATAAAGCATCTTCATCAAGACAAAGGAAAGAAAACAGTAGAAGGGGATAAAACAAAGGCATCTGACCAACAGAATGGAAAGTGATGAACTAGAACTGATGCTGGCCCTAGTGGAATTCTCAGTATTCTATCTGTTCTGGGCTGCAAACATTTCTATGTTTGCTTGTTCCCACAGTGAAGCAAGACGACAATAACAGTTGGGTGCAGATGCCAGTCATGAGATAGAGGTGACTGACTCAATGAATCTGTTAAAATATCCTGCCCAGAAAATGAGCTGTGATGAGATACATTTTGATTCTACTGTAGTTCTAAATTTGAACCTACAACTGGGTGAGGGATTTCCTAATGGCCTATTTATTCAGGTACCATGTAACTGAATGTTAACTTGTTTAATGTAATTTGCACTGTCTGGTGTCTGGTGATAGGCTTCAAAGTCTTGCACACTGCCAGGAGCTATAGAAGGTTGATATAAGATTTTCCGCTTTTTTGGGTATCTGCACTCCCTGGACCTGAATAAAGCAATAGTGAGCTACCAAACCACAGCAGGCATTGGTAGTTAGTATATGCGTTAGTGGTAAAAAGGACACGTCCATTACTAAGTTGTGTCGATCTACCCTCCTATGGAGCCATGAATATTGGTTGGCAAGTATTTACAAGAAAAAAGGACATTGTTAAACTCTTCCAAGAAAAAACAACATGGGTTGCTCAGCAGGAGAAAAACACTGCCAGTTTCATTGGTAATTGTGCATCTAAAACTATGGCTGACACTATCACCCTACATCAGCATGCCTGGCTCTACTCCACAGGTCTCATGCAGAAAGCAAAGGCATGCATTAAAGACATGCTGTTTGACAGAGAAGGACTCTTAGTAGTAAAACTGACACTATCCTCAATTAGATTCAAAAACCAGTTTACTGTTTAGTGCAGAGGCCTAGTTCTCAATAAGGGGGGGGGGGGCGCTCATTAAAGGACAATATGCATGGTACTTTCTAAAGGAGCCATTGAAAGACTTCCATGCTTTAAACTGAAATCTGAGTTTTGTGATATATTGCTCTACTGAGAGGAAAATGGTGTACTTGTATTAGTTTTGATCTTTGGAATGTGAATTGTTTCCTATCAGTCCAAAAATTCCATAAGGTTTCTCATATCCATTATTCCCTTCCTTGAAAAGGGACACTATTTTTCACTAATGGATTTAAAGGATGCCTGTTTTATTTTTCATTATTTTCTGAGTTTTAAAGTGAAGACACAAGCTTATTGGCTTTCCTTTGGATTAGGTATTGCCCTCCCCCATGGCTCTCTAAATCTACAGCTGTCATAATAGCTCATTTGAGATTCTCTGGAATAAAATATGATCTTTACTTGGATCATTTTTTTTTTTGCTGTTCTTGACACACAGTGGCACCATCTTTTAAGTGTGTAGGTATTGTGCTTGACCTATCACCCAATGTCAACATAGAAAAATATTATTCTGTGTTAAATGCTTCAGATCACATGGCACCTGGCATATTGCATTTCTTCCATACCATTGCTCAGACATATGACTCTGATTATATCAGATGGTATCTGTGGATAGTCTCAAAAGGAGGAGCTTTTATATATAAAATATAAAGTTATAAAAGCTATAGAAGGTAGACATACCAATTTCTGCTCTTTGGTTGTCCATACACCATAGATCGGAAAGTGAATACAATCTTGGATAACTACAGAGTTGAAAGCCAGCTATAATGGGGGCACTAATCCTGCCAGCATGAGTCATAAAGACTATTTAAGTATATAGCAATAGCTCTTAGACTTATATACTGCTTCATAGTGCTTTTACAGCCTTCTCTAAGCAGTTTACAGAGTCAGCATATTGCCCCCAACAAACTGGGTCCTTATTTTATCCACCTCGGAAGGATGGAAGGCTGAGTCAACCTTGAGCCGGTGAGACTTGAACTGCTGAACTGCAGCTAGCAGTCAGCTGAAGGAACCTGCAGTACTGCACTCTAACAACTGCGCCACCTCAGCTCAGATATGGGGTCTGGAGTATAATGGCTGAATCAAGCCTGACAACTTGGAACCAAGAAAGCATGCTACAACATGCTTCTACATTGCAGAATGGTTACAGAGGTATGACTGAGAGTTAAGACTTTATCTCCCTTTCTGGGACACTCTGTCACAGATCTTGTGTTCTTACTGTCACATATACCTTGGTTGCCAGTTTACATCCAAGGGTTATAGAATAAATCACCATGAATGATGCATCTTGTCTTCCTGTTTTGAACCCCAGAGCTATTTAAAAGGTACTTTTTATAAGCCATACTGAAGAAATACTCTTGACATTAACTCCCTAGGATCTCTATGGGTTACCAAAAGATGTCTCTTGGTATTAACTGAAGAACTCTATGGGCTGCTCAATGAGGCTAGATACACTGACATTAATCAATGTGAAAACTGATAGCCTAAATCTCTGACCTGCTTGAATGCTATGGGGAGCATAGTTTCCAATGAATCAATTGTAGTATCAGCTAAGTCTTACAGAAATGCCTTTAAGTGGGAAGAGAAGTTTCTGCGGGCCTGCCCTGAAATACAACATGCTTTTGCTGAAACAGATTAGGCAAATGAAGTGCTTCCCTATGGCTGACAATCTAAATTTGCAAAATATCAATATTTGTCATTCACATAAGATTAAAGTACATTTAAGTTGAAGAACTGCCTATTTTGTTATTGCTATAGTGTTTGAAATAGGATGGATGGCCCTAAAAGTAGATCTATTAAAGGTGGTGAGAATTCCCTTCAAAATCCTGAGTTGTACTTTTGTGAAAATCACAGTGATTACAGTGAAGAATCACGTATACGCTGTATACAGATTTTGGTGTATGGAACATGGTGTCCAATCCAAATAATCTGTACAACTATCTTTATGTTATGTTCTTTTACTACTCCTAGGTTCTTGATCTGAGGCATATCCCCTCCCCCCATCCCTTAATCCCTAAATTCCAATTGAGAACTTTTGCTATGAAAAGGATAATTATGGCACACAAGGATAGTACATTATCGTTTATTAACCATCTGGATAGATTTTTCTTAGACAGAAATTTCATTGAGAAATGGGATGGCTGGTTGTAAAAAGTGGTTAATAGGATGACCATTGTCATCTTTAGAGAGTTCAGGAATGCTCTCATTTCAGGAATTAAATCCTTAAAATGCTATAAACTACATGACTATTTATATTCCTGGCCTCCCCATTACACAGCCTGATGTCTCTTAGAGTTGTTTTGTCTTTACCTGTGCAACTGTAATTTAGAGTATAGTACCATTTATCTGGATATGTAAGTATATGTTCTGGATGGGGAGCGGTTTGATTCTGCTTGCGTAGCTGGATCATTCAGGAAGTCCCAGATAAGGATAGTATCATCATGTGAGCTGCTGACAATTTGAAATTCATCAAACTGGAGTCGAAAAACTCTGCCAGAATGTTCCTAGACAGAGGAAAGACAACCCAAAGTCAAACTTTTCCAGTTATTGGATAAAAATAAAACATATTTTGTAATTATTCTATATTTCTAAGGGAAATAGATCTTTGAAAAATAGTTTCATTACTGTTAATAGATGGCCCAAAACATGGTTCATAAGTTCATTACTTCCATTGGCAATATTTCAAGGACTGAACATTCTGAAACTAGAAATTTTGTTGCTTGGACTTTTATGACTGTGCAGGCCTTTAACAATAGCTTGAAAGAACGTTTCAGATCTTGCATGAACCCAAACTCATTAGATTAGCATGAAATTTAGAATAGCTTCCTTAAAGCAATAGCATTGTTTTTCAGGCTCTTGCTGCAGCCCCCCCCCCAAAAGGGGGGCGCTTTAATGAATAGCAGAGAGATGTTGTATTCATGGGAAGTCCAAAAGAATTCTTGCAAATCATTTTCAAAGTCTGAATAGCCATAGTAATAACTGCACAGTACTTATTTGCTTATCTAACATTTACTAGTATCTTGAGGTATAATTGAATCAGTGTTATTATTTATCGAACAGATTTTCAAGGCATGGATAGTTAAGGAGAAAGTTAAAAATATGTTGGCAATTTAAGCCCACTGTAAATGTGGGTATATACCATGTATGTGCAAAATAATGTCCATTTGGGCTATTAAAGTCCCAGCTAGTTCAGTACAAAACAAACAACATATTTCATGTATTTTGGTTCAAGCACAAAACAAGCTATTTTGGTTCAAGTACCAAACAAAATACGACGACTTTGGATGAAAGAATTCTGAATGGCCTGTTCTATTTTAGATGACGTGCTAGGAAGTTGTCTTATCTTTTTGATTTTTCCAGTTTGAGGAAATACAGCAGAAGACTTATCATGTCTCTCCTGCTATTGGCTTAGGACAAGTGATGGAGTTAGGAGATTAAAAACCAGGTATTTGTGGACCACGGAGCCATTTTGGATCTGACTGTGGTTGGAGAAAGATACTGCTTTCAAAGAGGAAATTGCTATTAGGGATTATTGGACTCATGCTGGAGCCATGGTGGCTGGTGATATATTAAATATAACTGGTTACTTGCCGTTAAGACACACTACAGCCTGAATCATTTATAGTCAGGTTGTTCTTTATAAAATTAGTTTTGCAATTTATATGTGGATCTCTCTAACTTTCCTTTCTCCTTGTTTTCCCAAATCAACCAGTCCATCCTCCAAAAAATTATGGCTTCTTATTTGAAGGGAATTCCTTAATTAGGTGTGCTCATGACACACACACACACACACATAAAGTTCTGGTGATTGTACTGGCCAGATGGTAGTAAAAATGCTATCCCTACCCCTGAAGCTATAGCGCTCCTCCCACCCTGCCACTATCTGAAGCCTGGAAGGTGAGGTAGTGCTGGTTTTTGTAAAAATCTTATGGGAAATCCTGTCTTCACGTGAATAGATTGATATGTAGGCCAGCAAAAGCAAAAGGAATACCAGATAAGAGACAACAGTATATTGTAAATACTAAAAGTAATACCAAGTGTGTGTTTTGTCCCTTTGTGAGGATGTGCTTTTCACACAGATCTTACTCAGCAAATATTATCCATTGTAAAAGCAAAAAGTACAATTAGTATATGACATGACCGTAGGCATGTGTGCCTTCTGTGCATACTCTTTTTTCCTGAGATTCAGGATGCATTTATATAAGCAGTTAGTCCTCATTTTCAAAAAAAATTCTGAACACTTTGCAGACAACAGGACAAAAGAGCATGCACTGAATGCACATCCTCTTTTAAATTCATCAAGCCCTTAATTTGCTCATCTTTCCGCTGCCAAAGTGTTATGCTCAGCTATTTGAATATTAGATCTTTTGGAGTTTTTGAGTAACAATGAACTTGAAAAGTATTCATTCCTTTCTGGAAACTTATATTTAAAAATGTTACCACTGTATGCCGGGTGGCCTGCTAAGCACACTGTGCCTGCTCTTCTGCAATGCTGATGCGGTCTATGGTGGATTGTGCTACAAAAGCATGTTTGCACTTAGTGGTTTGACCTGTTTGCTGCAATTCTTGTGTGTCTTTAGCACTTTCGTTTTTGCTGAGCAAGGTAGTATGCATGACTGCACTTTTTGTTCTGTTTCCAAAGTAAATGTGGCAGTGGGGCTGGGAGAATTCTTTTGTACTTCCTAGGGTGTGGCCTCTCTCCTGGGCAGCAACACACTTTTGTTTTATTAATGTTCTCATTCCACCAGGCAGAAAGTGTAATTCCTTTTTATTTGTTTTTGGCAGCCAGCTGATAGCAGGCTGTCAAAACAGGTACATCTGCAAATGAACTATTGGGGTAGAAATCCATATTGGTCATTTCATGCAAGGTGACAATTTAGATTAAGATGAAGTTTATCTTAAAACATTTTTGAAAATTACCCCATTTGTGTCAATGGGTTGACTGGAATTCATTTTTTTCCCCATGATATCCTATTGCCCTGAATGATGTAACTGATTTGAAAAGTGTGTATGAAAGGATAAGGTCTCTATAATCTTTTTCTTCTTATTAAGGAAAAACACTGATCTAGCCTAGTAAGCTTTCCTTACTTTTCTTTCAATTATTATATACCAAGGACGAAAAAAAATAATATATACATTTGAACCTGAGTGCAAGGAAGGCACAAGGCAGCATATGGAAAAAAAAATACTTTCATAATGGGAAATTTCAGAAATATTTAATTTTTTCCCCTTTGCCAATCTTTTTGCAAGTTGGTTTGCTGGTAGCACAGAGCATTAACACTGGCTCTAGATGAAATTAAGAGAGCAAGAGGCTTGGTCTCTATGACTGAAACACTTAAAATGTATCAGGTTTTTTTTTTAACAAAACACAGGATCCTTGAACTGGTTCAGCTTTTGTTCTTTTGAACCGCAGTCACAGAAAACAATCTCATAAAATGCAACAAAATATATTTCCATTTTGCATGTGCTCATGCTTAGTATGTTGACAGAATATTGTTATTCTGTTTCTGCATTTTATTATTCCTGCTTGATTTCACTTGATCCCTACTCACTCTGTTTTTCCAACATATATTATTGAAGTTACCAACTTTTCTTGGCTAGCAATTCATTTTCTGCTAAAAATGTCAAAATATTCGAAGTATTAAGAACTGAATACATAAGAAAGAATTTGAAGCACACTATAATAACTGTGTTAACTCCTGCTGTTGCTAAAATCTTGGCTCTTTCATTGGTCTCATTCAAGAAAGCATTTGTTATATTCTTGTGCAATGTACATTTTATATGGACTATTCACACTGCCTAAAAATTGAACAAGAAAACGAAAATAAATACTTTGTTCATTGGGTAACACCAATTTAATTTCAGTTACTGAAGACAGTACAACAATGGCTCAGATATTTTCCCAAATTGTGTAAACATCTAGAACTTAAATGTTTCTGCCTATCCTTCCTTGGATAAAAGTAGGAGACAACTTTAATGAAGCAATGAAATCTTAGGGTTTGTTTACCTTAGCAGCTTAGCCATGAGCAGCAGGATTCACAATTCAGTCTCAGCTGAAGTGTGAACATAATCACTCAAGGGTAATGGATACTGACTCCCCTAGCACCTCATTTATGCTTAATGAATTCTACTCTGCTTCCCACACATTTAAACCTCTCCATTAGAAGAGAAAACAAAGTGGATCTTTTTTTCACTTCCCTTCATCACTTGTAGATGATAAAAATATATTTAGGCATATTGGGCAAAAGCTACTGATCTGGTCTATGAAATTTGACTTCTGATAAAGTGATTTACTTCTGTACAGCAATGGATATACATTATTCTCATCAGAGGAAGAAACTTCAGAAGAAGAAGATGGGTCAGTTGATCTCACCACGTCGTCTGTAACAAATGAGCCAAACCTAAGCACAAGATCCAGGCTAGAATAATTCCCCTCTAGCCTGCGACCATCTGCCCAGGACTTGATCTAGATTATACAGACACTTATCCTAGTTGTGTGGCACTGAACTAAATTATCAAAAAACTGAAAATAGCTATTATGTTCTAAAATAGAGCATTTTATACTAGCTCAACGTTAAGTGGATGGTCTTTGCAGCCAAATCAGATTTGATAAGCACCAGTTAAGTAAAAAAAAAAGTTAGTCTTCCGTATAAATCTATGTGGGGGTGGCACAATACTGGAAGCAATTATTGCTTATAAGATTGGCTACCCTTGCAACTTGATTGTGGGAATTCTCTCATTTACAGGCATTTCATTCTGGACTCCAAATTTCACTATTTCAAATTTCTTATTTTGCTTCTGGAATTAAATAGTAATGTTCTTTTTGCGTGCCAGGTTGTGGGTAACCTCTTTTATAATTAGGCCTTAAATTGTACAATAGTGCTTTTCTTCTGCTTAATTCATAACTTCACTCCAGAATTGGACATTTGAGAATTACAAATATATATTTACCCAAATTATGTCCCACCCTTCCACCTTAGTATTCTGTATCTTTTCCTCTTTATGCATGATAATTCTAAGACTAGGGACCTGTTATTTTATATATATCTCATCTATTGAAAACTCAATCAAAAGAGATGTTGTCTTTTTTTGTGGATGAGCCAAATTTCAATCCAAAATTTTTTGAACCACTGTCTTTTGGTTCAAACTCTAATTAATCTGGATTTAGCAAATATACTTAAAAATAACGTATTAGATAGAAAGTATTAACGTATTATATTTAGCAACTAGAGCATCAGGTTGCTTCAGTCAATCTACCTAAGACACTAAAGGAGTTGTAGATTTACATTGCTTATTAAGTCCCCTTTCCTGTTATTCACCAAGTTCCATTTCATTATATATTAATGAAATTTCATTATATATTAATATTAGAACACAATCAATTGAGAAAGCTCTTACCACAAGAGTACGCAGGCAGAGGGTTCCAGCAGGGGCACGGGGATCAAGCGCAGCTAACAGATCCCAGACCTTAATTTTTCTGATAAGGGGGAAAAAAGGATACAGTTTTCTTAAAAATTAAATATAAGGTAAAATTAACTGCCTTCAACCCAACCCAAAATAATGATTAATTATCTTCTGGAGGAGGGATATATACCTCAGTTAAAATAATCTCCTCAAAACTACAAGACAGAAGTACATGAAGGATACATTTCTTCAGAAATTTGCCTTTCTACTCTAAATCTCCGTTCTGCCTACATGACTTACTATGCTATCATAAAATAATAATAATAATAAAGGATGCTAAAACTTAGCCTAATGACCAAAGAATAATCAAGCTGTGTAGCTGCTCCATGTAATTCCTATGATTAACCATGTGACATTAAAAAGCCCAACTAGAAGCACCTTCAGCAAAGACTAAGTCAAACATAAAAAGTTAGTGGAGGGAAACATGTTAGACTAGGATCCACACTCAAGCCCCCTCTCAGTCCTAAAGATTTATAGTGTTACTTGAGGCTAGTCCAATCTATCTCGCATGGTTTTTTGTGGGGAAAACTGTAGGAGAGAGTACTATGCTTGCTACCTTGAGCTCCTGGAAGAAAGGCAAATACATAATACGTACATAAAAGTGTGACAAATCAGATCAATTTGTGTGATAGCTCTTAGCCATGATCCTCATTTGATCATTCTCATCAAGTCACTGACTCAGATCATTACAATAACAAAGACAAGTTTTAAATATGAGAAAGAAGTTTCTTATTAAGAAACAGTCTGAGTTATTTTTCCTTGTTCAAAAATAGAGGGACAGAGCAGGAGAAATCTGTTAATTTGTTTGACTAAGGAAATATAATAAAATTTCTGATTTAACCTAGTTGGTTTTATATGTATAAGAAATAAAAATTAAGAGATACTAAAACAGAGTAAAATGAATATTGTGCGATTGTGAGAAAACATTGACTTTTCATTATCTTGATTCTTAACTCATGTGAAAACAAACTATAGTAAATTTGCACTTTTAACCCTTCTCTGAACATGGAACAACTCCTTCCACTCCCATTATTTTAATGGCATATAAGAATATAGAGAGGGTGAATTCAAAATGATCATAGACAATAACCACTTCTATTCAAGAAATAAGGGACAAAAATAAAGCTAGAAATAATACATTTCCAATTTTTCGCAAACTCATGTTAACTATATTATTGCATAGTACATCTGGTATGTCAGCATTTCTGGTTAGTATTGATGAGAGTTCTGTAGATTTTAAAAGTACATGTTTTCTGTGGCACTTTATTTGTAACCCACATTTATTAATTTTACAAATAATTCAAGGCAAAGAACATATCCAATACACCTTCCTCTTCCTTTTTTCCCTATAACAACAACCCTGTGAGATGAGTTGGGCTGAGAGCAACTGGCCCAAGGTCACCCAGCTGGCTTTCATGCTTAAAGTGGGACTACAACTTTCAGTCTCCTACTTTCTAGCCTGGTGACTTAACCACTACACCTGTGTTGGCCTTCTATAGTAACTTTCTGATTTGTTTGAATAATAATTTTGACATATAAAATTGCATGCAGTCTCTTTGACATTTTTGCCCAGATTATTTTCTTCCAGATAACCTGTATATTATTTTGCTGTGCATTGTAGCTGAGTCTTCAACAGAACAGCCTTCTCTTCCTCTGTTCCAATAGTAAATACTCTATTCTAGAACAAATGTTCTAGAAACAAGAATTTTTTCATCTTTCCAAACTCATCAAAAATATACATGGAAAGGTTTTAGGTTTGATGGATAGCCAGTTAGAAGAAAAACATGATATTTTGTTTTTATATATCACAACAGCAGCTAGACTTTTGTATGTAAAAAGATGGAAAGGCCTACAGATTCCCACAATAGAAGAATGGATGGTGAAGTTAATGAAATTAACCGAGATGGCAAAATTAACTACTTTTATTAAAGAAAAGAGTTTGTCTAGTTTTGATTCTACATAGAAATGACTTTTGGACTTTTTGCTTGAAACTGAAAGAAAAACTACATTAATTTTGGGATTTGACAAGTAGAATTGTTTATTATTAGAGAAATAGTTTATATTATTGAATTTTAGATCAAAAGGTTAATGTATTTTATATTGCAAGTGTATCAAAGAAAATTGAAAGCTATCTTTTCTCATTTTTTCTATCTTCCCTTATTCTTTGCATCTTTTCCTTCCCTATTTTTCTCTTTTAAATTCTTTTTTCCCCAATTTTCATATTTTATTTCTTAGAAAAATTCAATAAAATATATATTGCTCAAAAAAAAATAAAGGGAACACAAGCAGAAGACATCCGAGATCTGAATGAATGAAATAGCCTTATTAAATACTTTGTTCTTTACATACAGTAGTTTATACACTGCTCAAACAACTAAAGGGAACACAAAACTACTGTATGTAACGAACAAAGTATTTAATAAGGCTATTTCATTCATTCAGATCTCGGATATCTTCTGCTTGTGTTCCCTTTATTTTTTTGAGCAGTGTATATTAAAAGGTATATGAAAACTTCATGTAAACTAGGCTGGTCCACACCAATAGATCTAAGATTAACAATTCATTTCAGAAAAAAGAAAATTGTGTAATATAAATGTAAATGTATATAAATGCACTAGAATAGCAACAGCAATAGCAATAGCACTTAGACTTACAGTATATATCGCTACTTAGTGCTTTACAGCACTTTCTAAGAGGTTTGCAGAGTCAGCATATTGTCCCCAACAATCTGGGTCCTCATTTTACCAACCTGGGAAGGATGGAAGCCTGAGACAACCTTGAGCTGGTGAGGACTGAACCCCTGGTAGCGGAATAGGATAACTCACCACAGCCAGGTCGCTGCGGCCATCTTGCAATGGCCAACTTGGGACAATTCGCCATGGCTAACTCACCATGGGACAACTCACCGCAGGACAATTTAACAATTCAATGTAATTATTTAAAATAAATAAAAAATATTTTAATCTTTGTAATTCACATATCATTTTTTCTCTCCTTTTGCATCTATTCTTTAATTATTCTATTCCACCATTTCTTTGATATTAGTGTAACTTTTGTCTTGCAACGAGTTGTCTTGCGGCAAGTTGTCTGTGGTGAATTATCATAGGCCCCCTGGCAGTGGACAGAGTCTACCTACAATACTGCATTCTAACCACTGAGCCATTACAGCTCAATTAAGTTAAGAAACTATTATTTTAGAGGACAGCTTGTAGCAGAACGGCAAGTTAATCAGTCTGTCCCAATGAAAAGCTGATTCTGAATTGAGAATCTGCATTGAAGTTGAATTTGGATTTTATAGGTACATTTTGAAAGCAATTGTTTAATGGGCACAAAAGATCAGTAGGAAAAGATGAAATAATAGATGCAATACAGATAAAAATGATATAAATGCAAATTAGATATTTTGAATATTCCAACAATTATATATAAACATTACCTCATTTTTTCTTTGTGTCAATGAGAATACTAAAAAAGTTATAAATAACAAAAGTTATTTATCCCCTTATAGCTAAGGGGTCTGCCAAATTTGTAACATGCTTTCTTCCCATTTTTTTTTTTAGTCTACTATTAAAATGAATCAAATTGTTTTCTTTTTTGCAGTCCACATTTCAGGAAGATTATTTTTTGATGAAGTGACTTTTCAAAAGGTATTTTTAAATTTCTAGTTTTCAGGTTTTAAGTCAGTTTAGGATAAGCAAATAAGGTATTCATGAGACATGTATCTCATCATTACATTCTCACCCATCATAGGCTCCACTGACTATCCTCTTGCTATCAAAACGAATGCATCTCACCAGTTCCTCATGGCCTTCCAAGACCCGCAAACAGGCCCCACACTCAATGTCCCATAACCTGTTGGAACACAAGACAAATAACCATTATATTTTAAAAACTCTATAATTGAATTATAAATTGCAAATTGAACCTGCTTAATAAAGACTTTGAGAGAACTTGAATATATCTAAGTTTCTATTTTGTATCCAGAAAATATCAACGTTTAATGCAAAAGCTAACTTCTTTCATATCCAGCAATTTCAGAAACAGCTGACATGATTTAAAGTCATTATTGGAGCTGCTATTAGGGCTAAATGACTGACAATACATAATTGAATCCAGATAAATTGGCCAATAGTAGTCCATATAAGCTTATGATAACATTTTCATATTAGACAATAGTATATTTTTTGCTGTAAACTGAGTTTGCTAGTGGAAAGAGACTGAAATGTGAGTTTTCTCTACAGTTACATCTAAAATGACTATTCTTTTTAAAAACATTCTATTGTCAACCTGGGTAAACTTTTCAGATACTGCCAATTGCATGTGATGATCACGGTTGTAGCTTCTTCACAAGTGTCTGAAATTGCATGTTATTTTATAAGTGAAATTGAAAGAAAGGAACATATTACATCAATTGCAATGGCAGATTCATAATAAAGTGAAGGTATAAAGTTCTTATGAATCTGAGTATAGTGCCCTTAGAGTGCTTATAGTTCAGCATCCATTATAAAACAACTAAAAACTGACTTGTTATTCATATGAATCTGGCATAACAAAATCTATAATTAGTGCATACCAGTTATTTAAAAGAGAACACTAAAATTATGGATCTGTAATTCAAGTCTATAGGACTGTTGCCCTAGGGAGCAGGTGCTGTTATACACTTTATGACCTATGGATAAAAAGACAGTTGTTATACATTTTATGATCCATGGAGTAAATGGCTATATAACTGACTGAACTAAAAGTATCTCTTTGTGAATAGTTCATTTTTACTTCATTTCTATGCTCTGAAAGTCCTCTGAAATGCAGCTTTTAAGGTTTGTAAGGTATTGGTGGGAATGTGAAGAAGCAAAAAGAATAACTGGAAGAAACCTAGTTACATAAGAGAGATATTCAGGAGATTTTTAAGCAGATGAAGTTCATTTTTATCAGTTAAGCCTATGGCAGAGCCATCTTTTTGCTTTAATAGTCTCTCTTCCTATAAAATAGGTTTTAACGTTGTGGAAAAATGATCAAGATAATTTTTCTGACTACAGAGCCATTCTTGCCAAAATACATATAGGGAAACAGTTATCATATCCACTTCAACTATGCTAAAGGAAACATATAGTTTGTGATGCTAGCCAAATTTAGTGCAGTGACATAAATTCTAGTAGAGTGATTATGATTTTATTAATAGCTTATGTTTGGCCCATTACCCTGCTCTTTCTAGCTAACTCTGAACAGGAACTGTTGTATTAAGTAACAGTGTCTAGCCATTCATTCCTCACATTTGGCTATGGTCACTGAATTCTAGAGAATTAAATTTCATTCTGCTTTTGAGATTTCAGTGTCGATTCTGTTAAAAAAAAACTAAAGTACCTATTAAAGAAGAGTGAGGAAGTAATACAGAATACTGAAATTATACGCAAAAGGTTTACAACCCACTTTCAAAAAACAAGAGGGATAAGAGAAACACTCTGCAAACTAATGTTTGAATATTAACTCTAAGAAGCATATAGGTCAACTATGTATTCAACCTGAATTCTTTTGAGATACAACTGCCAACTGCAGCAAAATTCCAGCACAAGATTTTTATTCCATGTAAGCAGAAAAATAATTGTATTCCTCTTTAAATTTATTACCATATTGACATTTATATTAATTTATTTTACTGTATGTGGTACCTCTAGTTGCTTTTCCAAGGTCCACAATATTTAACTGTTTCTTGGTTGGTTACTACTAGTGTTTGTGTTTTCCAAATTTTATACTTTTAGGTTTATCCTGCTTATTTTTCCTAAATAAAAATGATTTGATAGGCAAAATCTACTGTTACACTTCAAAGATTGTAGCATCAAGCAAACCTCTTTCACAATCTCTCTGACATTAATTCCAGAGGATTACACAAATAGAAAAGGGATGAGCTTAATGATAAGAGTTATTAACAATGCTTATAATTCAATGAAATTTTCAGCTTTAGACTGCTAGTAGTAACTTTTTAAAACTGATCTTAAGCATTAGTTCACAGCAAGCTTGAAATCATGTTATTCATGGCTAGTGTAGAAGCTCTATGCCAACACAGGAAAGCACTTTTGTCTATGAAACATGACAAGGATTAGGATATTGTCACTGGTAGAAGGAAGAATACCTAAAGAGAAGAATGCTTTCCAATAATACTATCATGGTTTACATCACAAGAAAGATTGGATTGGGGGAAAACTTGCACCTATAGAGAGGCAGTTCACTTAAAACATTAAGATAGCTTTTAAATTCGTAAATTGGATTGTATAGGAAGACACTGCAAAATTCACTTATTCACTTCCTTATTCACAATCATTTCCAAGCAGTAGATTTTGCTTATCATTTGCCTTCCTATCAAATCCCATCCAATTATCATCTGAAAAACATCTCAAAACTGTAATATTTGTAGTATGGAATGGACTGATGCTTGGATTATTTCCAGTGAAGGCAGAGCAAGTGGACTTTTTGAATCCAGGCAACTTGTTTCAAAAGGGGCTCAAGGCCAAGTGCTATGAGAAAAAAAAAGCTGGTAGTTATTAGTTGGATTTAAGAACTGTATTAAAACCTCTTAGTGCAAATCCAACTTTTTTCATGCATAGCACTAAATCATTAAATGCAATGTCATATTAATGAGTGTAGCAAATGTGCCAGGGAGAGAGAGTGAGAGAATACGAGTGTTTCAAACAACTTTTCATACAAATAATGTGTAGCAATAACCTAAAGCTTCCCTTCATTTCTAAAATAAGATGATGAATACAGAAAGAATCCACATGCACACACATAAAGGCTTTATGTCAAAGTAGCTTTTAGTTGGGCAAAGTTGCTATTTAGATATATCACTGTTATATGCAGGTCTGTTTGCCTTGACCCCCCTCCCCCAAAAGACAGCACTGGTCAGTATTACTCCTATGCTTCATACCTAATTGTATTATCAGATGAACCACTGACAACTAGTCTATCTCTATATTGTAGACATGCAATGCCTCGCTTGTGGCCATTTAAGGTGCGAACAAACTCACAGGTACTTGTGTTCCATACCTATAAAAGAAACACAAAGAAGAAAAATGATTATTTGGAAATATTACATATATAACAGGTATTTGTATGAGAAAGACTTATATTGATAATAGAACCAGAATGATGAAGTGGTTAGTGTTGGACTGGATTTGAGTGTAGCAAGTGGTGGGGCAGTGGTTAGAATGCAGTACTACAGGCTAACTCACTGCTCACTCCAGGAGTTCGATTCTGAGCGGCTCAAAGTTGACTGAACCTTCCATCCTTCTGAGGTCGATAAAATAAGGACCCAGATTGTTAAGGGCTATATTATGACTCAGTAAACTGCTCAGAGAGAGGGCTGTAAAGCACTATGAAATGGTATATAAGTCTAAGGGCTATTGCTATTAAGGAAAGTGCAACAAATTGTGATTTAGTTTATGGAGTGACTTTAGGACAGTGACATATTCTTTCAAATCTTACCTATTCACCGTGTTGCTTAGTTAAAGATAGAATATTAATGAAATAAATACAATAAATTAATACATATTCAAAATCATACTGATTTCAAGATTTGCACCTTTATAGTTCTATCCCCTGATGCTGACACAATGTATTTGTCATCAAAGTCTACCACATTGACGGCTGCTCTGTGTCCAACCAGAACCCTTCGTAAAGTAATGTCTGTTGGGGAGGCCATGTCCCAAACAGCAATGGAACGATCTTTAGAACATGTCACCATCATCCCATTATTAAAGCGCAGGTGCAGTACCGCTTCACAATGATGGATCAGCGTGTTGAGCATCTCACCAGTATTTACATCCCACACTCTGGAGTTCATGACAAAAGAGAAGATGGAAAAAAGAAGGCAATGAGTTTCTTATAGTAATTATAAACTTCCTATCACTACATGAAGTATCACAAATGTCCTGAAAAAATGTGTTACATGTCAGCCTATAAGCTTACTTTGAGAGGAATGGTTTAAGTAGCATGTATGAAATTTAAAAAATACAATAAATATACATTCTTTATCTGAATAATTTTATGAAATAGAACATTCTTACATCCATTTTAAAAACATAAATATCAAAGGACATAGTCTGGTCAACACTGAATCATGAACCTTTGACTGAGCTCATGTTTGAATCAAATTTAATTTTTCTATTAATCATGTGGGATAGCTAGCTACAGAGACCACCTAATTCAAAATAACCATACAGTACTGTTAATACTGTACTGACTGAGCAGGGCAAATGAAAACATTTTTAATTAAATGGTTTGATATACAGTATTATGTAGTGTTTCAAGAACTCCTGTCTTCAAAACAAATGGTGAGTTGCTGTGCTGGTGGGAATTATGCAGCATCTGAATGCTTCTCTAGAAGTTGTTATTCTAGACCAGGGGTGTCAAACTCAAGGCCCACAGGTTGGATCCAGCCTGAAACATGGTTGGATCTGGCCTGTGGGGCTCTCCTGGAAAATGTAACAGGCCATCCCACGTCGCTTTGGCCAGGTATATCCAATGTGACTTCAGCCCAGTCTACCCAATGCAGCTTTGGTCTGGTCTATCCAGTGTGAAGAGGAAACATGCCAGCAGTTTGGGGAGTGGCGTCAAGCTGGCCATGCCCACCCAGTTGGCCACCCCCCCAATCCCTCCCCCAAGGTCAACCACAGCCGATATGGCCTTTAATGAAATTGAGTTTGACACCCTTGTTCTAGATCAGTGATGGCGAACCTTTTTTCAATGCCCCCTATGTGTCCCACCCCCTGCACATGTGCACTTGACCACCCTGCACTTCCCTACCTCCCACACATGTCGGCACGACCACCCCATGTGCCATTTTTTGTCTAGCAGGCCTCCCTGAAGCCTCTGGAGGCCAGAAACAGCCCATTTCCACACTTCTGGAAACGGCCCATTTACTGACTTCTGGTGGGCCCAGTAGGCCCGTTTTTCATCCTCCCCAGGTTCCAGAGGCTTTCTTGGAACCTGGGGAGGGCAAAAACAACCTCCCCCGCCTCCCCTGGGGGCCCTCTGGAGGCTAGTAATGGCCTGTTTCTTGACTTCAAGTAGGCCCAATAGGCCTGTTTTTTGCCCTCCCCAGGCTCGAGCCTCTCCTGGAGCCTGGAGAGGCTGAAAACGCCCTCCCAGAACCTCTGTGCAAGCCCTGTACTTACCTGGCATCCAGAAGGGGTTGCATTGAGACTCCTGGAGGGGAGGGGTGGCTGGCGGTGCCAGCTGAAAATCAGCTGGCCGCATGCACGTGTGCTGTATCCGAGCTAGGGCAACGGCTCAAGTGCCCGCAGCTATGGCTCCCCTGCCACCTGTGGCATGCATGCCATAGATTCGCCATCATGGTTCTAGAACTTTTATCTTAATTTTAAAAATTATTGTAGAAAAGAATACTGGCAACATTAATAGATGAAAAGGATCTTCTGTACTTAGTAATCTAAACGGTAAGCATCCTATTTTGGGTCTTTTTGCTTACATCTTTCTCTCTCTCTCTCTCTCTCTTTCTCTCTCTAAATTCATTGAGTTTCCAAAGTGGATAGTTTAACAATATACAGAAATTTACACAGGGGGAAGGGCAGACAATGCAAGTGAGTCAAACAGGCTTTCTTTTATTTTCTAAATTCTTGGTTATAGAAAAATTCTAGATATTTTGAGTGGATGATTAAAATTGCATGTAAAAATTGAATTAATACTTTTAATTCAAAATATATTTAAAAATAAAGGTAGCTAAAATATAGCATATTTTACAGCCTGCTAAATAAAATTGTATATAAGCAAAAAATATTGATTTGGGTAATATGCTGATAATATTTTCTCAAGGATAGTTATATTTATATACATATATGGTACATATGCATTGTTAAGTCTGAAATCGAGGATTTAAGTTTCTCATTTTCCAGCTTATTTTAATAAAAGCACATGACACCTTTTCTACCTTCATAAATGCCTCCTGTCTTTTTTGTTTCAGAATGAAGTTTGACTTGAATAATAACCAGTTCAGCATAGGAACAATCATAAGCCAGTATGGTTCAAGGTGGCACAAATAGGATTGTGTGAAGTTATTAGGGAGATGCAGCATTGCGTAAATGCAGAGGGGCTGGGGGAGGTTGTGCAGATGGGGGAGTTTTACCCCAGTGACTTGCAATCTTCCCTGACAGCTGTAGGGAAGATCTCAAATTGTGATCACGTGTTCGCAGGGTACTGCAACCAGTTGTAAGTATGAGTCAGTTGCCAAGCACCGGATTGTGATCACATGATTGTGGAACTGTTGGGATGGACCTCCAAGGACCAATTGTAACCACCATTCATTTAGCATTTTGAAACTATGAACAACTGCTGAATTGTCGCAAATCAAAGACTACCTCTAAGATTACCACAGTGCATTATAAATATAAAATATAAAAGGATGCCTATGTATAATGCTTGGAAACATTAACACAATTCATTATGTACAGGTAAGATCCTATTATACAAGTACCTCATGAGCTGCACTGGGAACCAGTTTTCTGATCATAACTAACAATGCTTGTCTTAAAGCTATAGGTGGCACAATAATTAGGTATCTTACAGACCGCTTGCTCTTTTATGGAGGCCTACTGGATGTGCTTTTCTTTTTGGAGATCAGAAACTACTCGGGACAACATTTTCTCATAGTGCCTACAGGACACAGCATGTCTCCAACCAAGCTTTATTCATGATGCGCCTACTGTGAACATTTTTAAAGTATCGATTACAATCTTTTCTGGCACACCAAAGTTTGCAATGACACTCAGCTGGTGGAACCAATATAATAATTAGTTAATATCTGAGTTGAATGAGGAAGACTCAGGTTCAAGACACCACTTGACCATGAAATTCACTGGATGACTTTGAATCTTAGCCCAATGTACCTCAGGGGACGGCTGTTGTTGGGATAATTAGTACAGATGTGATAGAAATGCAAATACTAATACTAGTAATTCTTTTAACTTCTTTTATCTGTTTTGTTTGTTGACAGCAGACTTTATTAATAAGTTGTTTTAAAAATGTTCACTTTAATCACAATGACATAGGCTGGCATGGTGGTTTATATTGGTTAGAAAGACAGAATAAATAGATTTTTAAATGAATAGTTAGCTACCTGACAGTGGAATCTGAAGATCCAGTGATGATTACTCGCTCGTCATACTGGAGACAAAGGACTGACCCGGTGTGTCCAGTCAGAATCCTCTTGCATTCTAAGGTATTTTTGTCCCAGATCTAGGAAAACAAGAGAATACTAAGATTTTATCACAAAGTAACAGACTGCACTGCTATATCGTCTTTTCTGTTTCCTACAACACAGCATTTTCTTTACTAAGGCAAACAGAACTTCTTTAAGTAGCACACGACGCACTTTGTATTCCACAGGCACTTCGGAGCAATATAAACTATCCTTAATATCTCTGTTTTTAATATGAACATCGTATTTACTCTTCTCATTAGGGAACAGAAAGACTTTAATTACTGAAGGACCAATAATATGGTTAGCCATGAATATAGCACAAGAAAATGAAGCTGGTATTATAGATGTATCCTCCCTATTTGAAACTGATAAAAGAAAATCAATATATTTTGAAGTCAAACTCAGCTGAGATAGGATATGGAAAGTAGCTAGTTTTTCTCATGCATTGCCTCTTCCAAATGAAGTTACACTTCACATTCTTTTGAAGAATAGGTCAATTCCATTATTATGCTGGCATTCTCTTGCAGAATAGATTTTGTATTCCATTATTGCACGTCGGGGGAACTCTCACCTTAATCGTATTGTCTCGTAGACCACTCACTATCTTCTGATCATCATACTGTAAACAATAAACACCTTTGCTAGTTTCACTCCTGCAGTGGATTCTTTGTAAGCTGTGTCTTCCACAACGCCAGTTTGATTCTATTGTCTGGGGAAGAGAGAAAAACAATTTTAAAATGTGGAACAAATATCATGGAAATTTTACATTGCTGCACTCATGGGACAAGAGAAGCGGCTCTAATGCTGAACATATTTATCATTAGAGACTCCCAAATGTGCAAGGAAAAAGGACAGTCTGTTTCCTCTCCCAATCTTTAGCTTTCACAATGTATTAAATCCTGCTAAAATTTCATTGTCATTTCTAAAAATCAAAAGCACCAGCTATCTAGAATATAGTACTGTTAATATAGGGTATGCATGGTAAACTGATTTTTGCATTCTTTTAAGACCCATGTCCTTCCTCAATACCTGTAGTCTTAAAAAATGTAGAATATGAATGAAATAATAAATAGGATATTTGATAATTCTCTATTACATTTTCCACTTTTTTATTTGCAATAAGCATGGAAGAATTATTAAAGTATATATCATTTATGTAATTTTATTTATAATTATAGGTTGTTCTGGTTTTATATTTCTAATTTTCACTTCTATTCTAAATTAACTTCTTAATACCAAAGTCCTATCATTAACGAGTAGGAGCCTGGAACAAAAGCTCTTCTTGGCCTTTGAGTTGCATGCTGGGTATCCCAGCACAAAAAGTGGACAGAGATAAGGCAAATTATTATTATGATTATTTTCAATTTTTCGCAAGTTGCCATAATGACATAATAAAAATAAAACTTTGAAACATTTAAAGAGGCTTTGAGAGTTGTACCTATTCATTTAACATTTACCCAGTTTAACTCTGAGAACGCCTGGAGAAAGGAATGGTCCAAGCTAGCCAAGACCTGGCCATTCAGAATGGAACAACTCACCATGGCCATCTCACCGTGGGCAACCCAGTGTGGCCATTTCGCTGCAGCCATCTTGCCACGGCCAACTCGTCATGAGACATTCCACACAGGATAACTCAGTGCAAAAAATGTTTCTTCTTCATTATTTCCATTGACAAAAATGGAAATAATGAAGAAGAAACAGTGATGGATAACACTTATTGCATTGAGTTATCCTGTGTGGAATGTCCCATGGTGAGTTGGCCGAGGCAAAATGGTCACAGTGAGTTGGCCATGGTGAGTTGTTCTAGACCGTGGCTATTAGTGATCTCTCTACCAAACCACCTAGTTTTAATCTGCCTCGCTCTATCTGGACAAAACTGAACAGAATTAGATGTGACACAGGAAGAAGTGTCTCTGGCCTCTATCAATGGGGGTGGAAAGATTCATCTTGGTGCGACTCTGATGCTGATATGCAAACTATTAAACATATTGTGCAAAACTCCCCATGATGTGCATTCGCTGGTTCTTTAGAAGATCTGAATGAAATAATGCCAGAGACAATCACCTGGATAGCTGAACTGAATATCCTGTTATGAGGCCGTTGTCATATCCCTGTAGAAATTTTGTATATAATTACACGGATTGTTTGTACGTGTTTACTTCTCTTTATCAAGTTTTCATCTTGTGTTAAATAAAAAGTTGAACCTAAAATTTTGAGGGGCCACTGAATGTGTATCTCTGCACTAAAGTATCTGAACACCCTACAGTGAATAGAAATACTAATTATAAATTGATCTAGCCTACAAGATATATAAGTGATTCAAAAGCAAACTAATGCATATTTATGTGTAGTAGACATGATTTTTAGGGAAATGTATAGGCTTTATATTCCTTTTTAATTTAATGCAAACGTATATCACATTTGGCTGGAGGTAGGAAAGTCATAGATGAAGCAGTCGAAATAAGACCAAATGAAAGTTCTATAACCCATCCTACCCAGTTACTTCCTTCATGTGTTTTCTCTGACTCTTACCTCTATATCTTGTATAATTTTGGGATAAAGTGCTCTGTAAAATGAATTTGGTGGTATTATCCCATCAGGTGGTTTGTTTCTAAAAATATACTGTCCCCTTAAAGAAAGAAATGAAATAGTATTAATTTCAGTTGTTTAGTTTAGTTTTGTACAAGGTTGTTTAATATTTCAAAGTTTCCAACTGCTTGGAAGAGAGAAAGTTTATTACAAAAAAAATTAGAAAAGATGATTTATTTTCTCCTTTAATATTGCCTTTTGAAATGGGGCAATTGCACCAGGAGGAAGATACCTAAGTATTTTTCTCAGTAGATTATGAATAAAAAAAAAAATAAAGGAACTGTTGGAAAAATACCTACAGGTGTCAGTTTTGATAAGGAACACATCTCTGTTAGTTGTCATTGGACAATAGGAGAAATAATTTGTTTATTTAACTAGTGTTAAAACTAGTGTTGTAGGTCATAAATGCTTTAGGAGAAAGTTTCAAAATTTTCTTTCCACAGAGACTCCGATTTTCTTCAAGAAAATTGGTGAAACAATATGCACTATGGACGGCAACTTCCAAAGGTTAAATTCAGTGATATGCAACACGTGGTGTGTTGACCACATATAACATCTCAGCACTTTCCTTTCAGGACTGCCTCAAGACTGTATCATTGAAACTGAGGAACCAGCTCCCACACTATGGCCACAAATGTTTTCTATTTTTAAATAAACAAACAGTACAAGTCAGAGGAGGGTTTCAGCAGGTTCTGACCAGTTCTGGAGAACTGGTAGCGGAAATTTTGAGTAGTTCGGAGAACCGGTAAATACCACCTCTGACTCACCCTGCTCCCATCTATTCTTTGCCTCCCAAGTCCCAGCTGATCAGGAGGAAATGGGGATTTTGCAGTAACCTTCCCCTGGAGTGGGGAGGGAATGGAGATTTTATAGTATCCTTCCCCTGCCACGCCCACAAAGCCATGCCATGCCCACAAAGCCATGCCCATAGAACCGGTAGTAAAAAGTTTTGAAACCCACCACTGGTACAAGTAATCCTTGACTTACAAGTTCATTTACATTATTGAAAAACTGTACTCACAACTCGTGCCTGAAGTTACAGCCATTGTAGTACCTCTCTGGTCATGGGTTCAGGCATCTGGCAGCCTGCCTGCACTTATGACCACAAAGGTTTTCTAGCTCTTCAACCTACCTATTTTTCCCTATATCTGCCCTTTGGTCATCCTTGTGGGTTGGCAAACAGCCCAAGAAAGCCAAAGCCACCCCAGGCCAGTCCCAGCAGTTGCCCACATCACCCTATACTCTGAGATACCTACTGCCATGTTCTCTGACTCCCCAGCTCACCTTCTTCATTTTTTTGCTCCCGCTGCTGCTGAGGCATGCTTGGCCTGGCTGCTGGGCCCAGTGTTCAGCTGCAGAAAGAAAGAAAAAAAAAAAAAAGGAAAAAAAAAAGCCAAAAGCACTCCCTGATGGCAATGTGCCAAAAACACCCTTGCAAAGAGGCTCCTGGAGCGGGGTGCACCAAAATGCCCCTCTTTTCTATATTCATAAAAATCAGCTGTGGAACAGGATTAGAAAATGATCTGGAAGTGGAGGACAGCTAGAGATTGAGAATGCCCCTCACAAGAGAATTGGAAGCCAGGTGGATTTTGGTAGGGCAAGAATTAATCTCTGAGACACTTCTCTTGCCTGTTGTTCCACTGTGTTTTCCTGACTTCCAATCTTATGGTGGAAGAAGCAGTAGGCTGGAGATGAGCATAATGCATGGGTCAACATACTGTAAGTCCTTGGCATCAACAGCAAGTGAAATGAATGGGCACTGATTTTAAACTCAGCTGATTGAAGGGTACCAGCCAAGGTGCTTTGAAGTCAGCTCAATGTCAAAGAACAGAGATTGACTGAAGAATGTATGCAGGGCAACTATGCCCAAAGGGACATTTTGGCATGCTGAGCCCCAGGAGCTTTTTACAAAGGAGTACTTTGGTGTGTTGCCACTCAAAGATTACTTTCAGCCTTTTTTTTTTTTCCTGCATCTGAAGCCAAGCCTGGCCCAGCAATCAGGCTGAGCCAGGCATACCTTGTCAGCAACAGAAGCTAGAAAATGAAGCTAAGCTGGGATGGTGCAGCACAGGGCAGCAGTGGTCTTAGAGTTCAGGATAGCAAGGCTGACCGCAGCTGGGACTAAGTTGGTGCCAGGCACAGCTTACTGGAACATAGCAAGTAGCTCTAGAGCCACATTGTTCTGAGGCTGCTTGCTGAGTCACAAGGCAGAGTGCAGGTTGGCCAAAGGGCAGAGATGAGGAAAGACAAGTGAGTAGGGTAAGTTGGAGGCAACCTCTTACCTTACTGAGGCTCGGGGCTGGGAGCAACCTGAACCACAATGGCTTTGACTGGGGTAGGTAGTCACTTACCGACCCATAATTCATGGTTAACAACTGCAATGGTGTGTGTGTGTGTGTGTGTGCTGGGATTACGATTATTGTGATCACATGATGTCTTACTTTACAACTGCATCAACATATGACAATAATCCCAGTCCCAACTGAGGTTGAGAACTACTATAAAATGGATATATTGCTTCTAATATTTTGCACAATAAATAACTTTAAAGAAAATATTCAAACCCTCAAATATGTAAAAAAAAAAAAAAAAAGCCAATAAACCCTATGTCCTGTAATGTGCTGCTAGAGAGGAATATTTTTTCCTCATTTGCAATTCACCGAGAAACACTATTCTGCAATTTTCTCTAGACTGGTTTTAAAAAATTACTTAAATTGCTTCTATTACCATAGGGACATTTAAATAAGAGACCCTAAAATGAGAATGACATCAGGAGAGTACCTTGGTGAGCAGCATATTCTTTCCAGTTCAATTGTTTTGAGCGAAGCCTCATAGTAAAAATTATCAGTCAATTTTCAGTATTACAAATACATTTTACTGGTTCTTCTAGCTACTGGTAAACAGAAAGGCTTCTTCTTCGAACTAATTTGGTTTTGGAATGGATGTGTTTTGAAAATCAATGGGATCAAATTTCTCCAATGGCATAGTTTTTAAAATATTCTCATTTTAAAATTAAGAGGCTACCCAGTATTGTGCAGAAACAAAGAACTCCACAATGGATATTTTTATGTCTATAAAACTGAGGTGGACACAAATCCATAAGTACAATTCTGGCATCTGATGTATGACACCTAAATCTCTACTCTCCCTTTTATAACTGTCTTGTAATAATTCTCAGACCAGTTTATTCCACCTATAAATCTCTCCCTTCCTATACCCTTGAAACTGTATTAAGAAGCCTCTTTGTACATGAGATGGTCTGACACATGAAAGATATACTGTTTAAAAAATTACAAGAGTGGTAAAAATTTGAATAAAACAACCTATTGAAAACTTCTAATCTTAAATTTCCCAAAATACATTTTGAGGAATTGCAAGGTTTTACTGATGTGAAGAATATTAGTAAACAGAAATGCTGGGATTTCCTGAGAATATATTAGTAAATAAAACATTCAGCTAGGTTACAAAATGATTTATCACCAACGTATTTTCTACATATCATATTGGATATATGTTATTTTACATCTTGGGCTTTTGACAGCTTATTACTATTTTACATTTTCATGCTGGGAAGTAGAAAGTACAGAAGACATGCTACTTGATTATTCCTTTGCTGCTATAATGAATCAGTCTTGTTAAATCTACTAACCAACTGATAAAAAAAATTAAAGAGATAGAATAAGGAAAGAAACACATGTGGTTTAAAATTCATATAAAAGCAACTGTGGACTGTATAGGTAGCTTTCGGAGAGAGAAAAAAACAATTTACTGAGAAATTAAACAGAATGAAATAATATGTGGCACAGGGGCACTGACCCTGATCAGATTTCAAGCTGTCTGCATTGCTCTAGCAAAGAATAACATTTTTCAAACCTTCATTTGTTGTATGTGGGCAGCTCAGCAATCTAAAAATATTTGCTTTGTTATATACCATAGTAGCAAACATGCCTTTTGCTTTAATAATTGTTTCTTCTAAGGAGAATCAAAGAGGATAGTGATATAGTTTAGGTAAATATTCATTTACAACCCACTTTCTAAGGCTAAAGAAATGTTTTTTTTTAATCCCATGCTTGGCACAGAACTGTAGGAAATACATTTCTAATGTTATCGGAAAAGTGTTAGAACCTGTTATTGCTGCTTTTACTGCTTGATGTGTTGTCTACCTATCATTAAGATCTCCACAAATGGAATTTGATTTAATTGTTAAATTAAATCACATTTCCCTATGCTAAGTTTTGAAGACGCAGATAATTGTGATTATTATGTTTGCTGTTAAAAATACCATGAAAAAAGCAATTTGGGTACAGAGTTGCATTTTAGAAAACCTAAGAATATTTCATAAGCATTATTTTTTTTCTTAATCTATTGAACGTCAACATATTAATGATATCAAGGCTTTTAATAGAATTTGCATTTGCAAATTGTGGCAGTATTATTATTATTGTTGTTTAAATAAATAGAAGCTAAAATGCCTTGGCTATCACTTTGTCTTGTTTATGAAATATTTATATCCAAATATCTCACAGAAAACTATGGAGGCCCAATGAATAGAAAATTGTGTATTAAAGGGGTTATCCCAGGAGGGAAGCATCTAATAAAATGTTAATAGTAGAACATCAGACTTGGTCCTGCATATGAAATAGATGGTGTATAATATCTGAATTTCAGATGCTAATTGCTTAGTAGTCAGTATTCCAGGTTTTATGAGCAAAGATTACATCTCCACATGCAAAGGTCTACTATTACATCTCCAAATGCAAAGGTTGATATCCTATTTATAACATAAACATCTATTTCTGAGTTGTAGAAACTTGTTTATTTGTTATATAGTAATTGGATTTTGATTACTCTTTAGGTATGTGTCACAGACTGATCTTAGTTGTGGGATGGAAGAATATTATACCTGACTGGTTTTAATATATACGCATCTCACCATTCAAATCCCTAAAAGGTGTTACATCTATTTGTTACATTGGTTTCAAATGGTGTAATATGAGAATTGTAAAGTGTAATAGTCTCCGTTAAATCCTGTGGTGCATTCTTTGCCTTTCTGCCTCTAGGCTAGCAGATGAAATATTTCTGGAGAAAAGTGCTAGTTGAGAAGAAAAAGGTGCAGTTAAAAAAAAAAAAAGATGAGCTCTTAGGAGTTTTGACAGAATGGTGCATCTGACATTAGACAAATCTGATAAAAAGCTCTCTATGCCATCAATATGGCAATCCATCCTCAATGCTGGATCCAGATTTTGATCCTTTAAGGGCAGTGAAACCTTTTTCAGAAGAAGCATGCCAAATCCTGCAGATTCTGGATTTAAAGTGGCCATAAAGGACTAATAAAATTTCTGTGCTAAGAGAAAATATTTTCCCACCAAATATTTGAGTTCTGGTTCGGAGAGAAACTACTTTAATGAAGCAGCAGCAGCTGAGAGAATGACCACCAGGAAACATAGGACCAATAACTAGAGAATAATGGGAACAGAGATGACTTTTCAGAGTCATCTGAAAAGAAAAACACTAAAATTACTGCCTATATCAGAAGGAAGCAGTGCAGTAGGGACGGCTGTAGTCCCACCATAGCAATACTAGGCCAGTATTGTTAAGAGACAGCACAGATTAAGCTCTTATGAGGCAACATGGTAGTAATCTCTGTTGCTTGTGAAGAAGTGCTTTTGTTTTACCAGAGTCCTACATTAATCCCAGCTTGCCTTTACCTGGTGACTATATTAAAGATAGTTTTTGGATGGGGGTGAAGGAGAAAGATAAGAAAGAAATTGGGGTCTGAAAAATATTCCTACTGCCTTAAATTAGCAGCTAAATAGTTGTACCCTGCCTCCTGATGAAGGTGATATGCCTGCTGCCAGCGGCTTCTGGAATGAATTCTAGAATCAAGAGAAAACATATCCTCAGAAAATAGTAACAGACAAAATAAGAAATACATAGCAAAAATTAAAAGGTGTTCTCCAATTTTCAGGTAAAATGATCAAACTATCACTGGCAACTACTTCCCCTACTGAGCAGTTATATGTTTGATACTCTCACCATCCTCTTCGCTCCGCCAAACCCCTCCACAATGAGTCGGTACGGACCATCCTCTCAATCAGTTTCTTCCACAGCATACCATCAGACGTCACCCGGTACCATTCCTTGCATACTAGTTCAACAGAACACAAAGATTTGGCATCCAAATATGATAGAATATTCTCAGCAATGTGATCCAGGCCTCGAGCTGGAAGAAAAGTAGTTAGTGATCACTGGGGAGCTTGCTTGGAGATCGTAAGTTACAAACACATTTTCAACCTCATCATTGCTCATTCCATTTCTTGTATTAAGAACTGGAATGTCTGAATAGAAAATAGTCTCATGTTAAGTTCAGCAACGAGTAGCTTCCTTTGGTTAAGAAACAGCAAAGCATTTAAGATGATAAAGAATTCAGGAAGTCATTCCAATCTATTTCTATTGGTTTTAGTACTAGAGGGATGTTCTACGGAAGACTTTACTCACTTGATGCATTCTACAAAATCTTGGTATATTAGGAACATTTTTCATTTTGCTACTATAGCTTTTCTTTTATTCCAACAGTTCAAATGCTACTTTGATGCTAAATGCTAAAATTAAAGGCTTTTGATGCAATGAAGAATATATGTTCCTACCGTAATATGAACTCCCAAGAAGTACTATCTAGTAAGAATAGTGATGAGACTGTAAAAAGTATCTGTCTGTCTGACTGTCTATCACTTATTTACTCTTAAAAGAAAACACATACAATTGAACATTGACAATTGACTGAGAACACTAGATTACTGTAGGTAGTAATCTACATCTACAATATACCCTGTAAATGATCAGCAAGTGGTTGCCTTCGCCCTCTTTTCCCTATATGTAATATCTGGACTGAGTTGCCTCTTATTCCCTTGCAGCCATCCTTTCTGGGAATCCACCTTCTTACTACATGCCATCACACAAGGCCTAAATACAAGCTGAGTATGTGAATACTTTATAGAATTAAAAGAACAGATAGTGTATCTCAAATTGAGAATATACCATTGTCAATAATTTCAAGTAAGTCATCTATGAGGTCAATCCATAGTTGCTCAGAGTATCTACTGAACATTTCACATGAGATCAAATGCTTCATTTATGCTCTTGTTAAAACTGAACTAGAGACTGAGAATCATTGATTAGTAGTAATGATTGAGCATGTAAAGCAACAAGTATATTTTGGGATGCTCAAGATCATATGTCTATACTTAAGTAGGCAGATACATAAAAGGCTTCTATCAGATGATTCTTAACATGATTAAGCAGGATATTATGTACCAAGTGTTTCCTGTTCAGGACAGACAAGCAAAAAAAATCTCAATAATGACCTTTTCAAGCATCTGAGTAATTTTTATTTCTTTCTGTCATGGTCTTCTCCAGCAAATTCATTAAGTGCAAAGTGAGGAAGAGAAAAGTAACATTTAAAAGATAATTCCTTCAAGGCAAGTAAAAGGACAACTAAAACAGTTATGCTGCAGTATGAAAAAGACAACAAGGTTCACAACACGACAAATGCTTTCTGCTAAATAGTATCATGTGGATGAAAGTGTCAATCTATAGACAGTAAGGATTACTTCTGCTTCAGCTAACAGAGATTAACATCATTTATTATATTTATATGTATTTATTATGTATGTATATAAATGAATGTGCCAATAACTGAAAGACAATTGAACTATTGTTACAGGCTCATCAAAGAAAAAGTCTAGTGAAGCATAAATGTTATGATAAGTAAGAAGATCCAAAACAACAATGTAAGCCAAAATAATTTAAACTTCTGGCAGAAAATGCACTTCCAAATAAAAACGAGTACATCTCTTTGTATGCTCCAAGTAGAATACCTGGTAATGCTGTGATGAAGTCCCTCTGCAACATAGGTTTCAAGTATGAATTTATGTGCCCATGTTGATAATGACACATCTGAGAGATGAGATGTTCCACAAATTCTACCTGGTCAGACTCTGACCACTGCTCAAAATACTTGATGCAGAGCTCCTTTTCTTTTTCATAGCTTGCAGACAACTTTCTTTGTTTTGGCACAATCATGCTTGAAGTACCATTGGCAAGTTTTGTCTATGGAAGAAATGAACACAAACAAAAAATTAGTTTTAAAGCAACAATAAACAATAAGCAATAAACAACAATAAACAATAAGCAACAATAATCTGGAATTTTTAGAAAACAATATTCTAGCATATGACTATTCAGGTGATAGGAAAGCAAATTCGTCTAGGCCTTAGTATACAGTTTAAACTGCTACCAGAGTCTTACAGTGTAATCATCTTAATATACAATTGAAATGGCTACAAGATTCTTACTGTATAATTCAATGTACTAATATAGTCACATAGTTTTAACAATTCAACTTTACAATCGCTGATTTAAGAGAAACATTGGACTTGATAAATTCATAGAAAATACATGAAATGATATATATTTTTTGTTTGAAAATATGTCATTCGTTAGTATGTTCCAGAATTTAACTGAATTGTTTAAAAATTTTGAATATGAAATGGCTGTAACTGGTAAATCACGTCCCCATTTATTTGCCCATATTTCTTTCACAGACATTGTGGTTTCTCCAAGCAGGCTTTTCCAGCAATAATCCCCCATTATATGGTTTCATTCATTGGGTCATTATGAAACAAGGGAAAGGTAGTCTACATGATCAACTGATATTTTTCTTTCCCATGTAGCATTATTTACTTGAGCCTTGACCAGAATGAGGTTATGCAAGAGTCTTAAGGAACCTGTTCTCCACTTGGAATGTTTTAATGTTCATTATGAGAATGGCTTTCATTCCAATCAATTATACGACTGAATAAGATGAAACTGTGCTAAACTGAAATCCTTCATTTTGAAGACTTGGAACCCTACTCAAACACAATACTTATAGAGCAAAGTCTACTTTTTAATTATTTGCTTCATTTATAGCCCATTATGATTCTCTATCATCAAATGCCCATCATCTTTACAATAATCCTGTTAACATCTGCTTTCTGTTTCATCCTATAATAAGCATTCAGAACAGGATTCTAAAGGATAGCTGAATTACTCTCTAACAGCAAAAACAACAAGAATCTTGTGTCACCTCTAAACTAAAAATGTATTATGGCTTGTTTTCAATGGTTGCAATCTGGTACGATAATTACCTCTAATAGATGGTTTCTCTGAAGTTGTGAACAAGCTAAACAGTCAGCATGAGTTTGGTACTAAAAACCATGAAGTGAATCATATGCACAAGGATATTTTCAAGATAAAAATTAGGGCATGTTTGTTTTCCATTCCAGTACTAATCTTGCCCTTTGTGCACTATTTGATCACAAATAAAACTCACAATTTACTTGCAATATATTTTACTATTCTGGATCTGAATATACAAATTTCAAAAGAGATAGGAATTCTATCATCCAAATTCTAGATAAATTATGCAAAGAAAGCGGTATCATTCAAAGAGAGGTCTAAACAGGAAATATCTCAGTTGGTTACAGACTGTTCAATTTCTGGCTTTGGGCAAGTCATTTCAGCCCTCTGTGCTTCATGGAAGATGGAATTCCTAAAATATAACTCTTCGTGGCTTTTAATTATTCCTACCCAAATGTATTAACACCAATGCCTATTCTACAATCTCCAAAGAAGCTGTAAAATTCAAATTCCTCTACCCATAAATTATTGTTTGTACTTTCAAATTAGTGTTAATTCCTAGCAACTGACTGGACAAGTCTGTTGTTTTGGATTTTTGATTTGCCATTGTCTCTTTCATAGCGCTGAAAGTAAATGACTGGCTTTGTGACTAAGTAGAGTAGAATGTATGGCTTTCAAATTTCTGGCCTGTGTTTTAATCACTACATCAAATGGCACACAAAACATGGAATTAGTATTATATGTATTTGTTGAAGATCTACGGAAAAAAGAAACAATTTTCCTTTGAAAAATAGTTTTCTTCTTGAAGCAGGAAAGAAAACAAATTGGTAACTGTTGGCAAAAGAACTGTCTGGTTACTTGAGAAGTAATGTGAAGTTATCAGCGATGATTGTCTTGGAAAATTCTGCAATATATATTGGTAGGAAAAATTAACTACTGTACTGAAGTATTAGGTGTACACTAACAACTAAGCAGTATATTGTGGGCATATATTAATGCTCCAATTAACATGAAAAAGAAATTGTGAGAGGAAACAATAATTTAATTTCCAGACAGACCTATCCTACTATGACGGCCTACTAGAACAAATGCAATTAAGTAATGGGGGCCAGGGGGGGATGTCACAGCAGAGGACAGAAATGGTTGTAGAGTTGCTGAATAGTGCTTTTTTTCTACATCCTGCCTAATTTCATTAATACCTTTCTCCTATCTGAGCTGCAAAATCAACAGTAGCAGTTCAAAAATAAAACACAGTAGGATGGGTACTTCAATATCTTCTATCTATGCAACTAATTGGCAAATCCTTTTTTTAATATGAATAGAATGGAATGGAACGGAACAGAACAGAATGGAATTCTTTATTGGCCAAGTGTGATTGGACACAAAAGAAATTTGTCTTCAGTACATAAGCATAACATGTTAATATTAACATCTTTAATATGTTAGCTTGCTGCCATCATGCATTTAGTATCTCAGTATCATGACATTTATATGTATTATAATTGGCCAGCTTAAACATTTAAAACTGAGCTCAATTACATATTCCATTTATGCTTCAATTTTTAATACTAAGTAGACTACCAGGACTATGAGCAGCATAGTGCCATGTTCTACTAGTTTTCATAAAATAAGGCACTGTATTGCTGAAGTATTGGTGCCATCTGGAAATAAATAGTCTTGGATACAAGGACATTATATTGATCTCAAGGAGGATACAAGAAGTTTCTGCTGAGCTTTCTACAACAAGATATGGTAGTTAATGTGTTGTATGTGCAATGGAATTATAGCTAAGATAAAAAGAATAAACCTAATCAACTAATAATTTAGAAAAGGACATATTTAATAGAATAAACATTGGATATTCACATACTATGACCAAAGGATAATTAGCTTTCCTAGTGGTAAATTTCAAAACGATTTCCTGTCCCTGCCTCTTAAACTAAAATATCAAATATATATTACCCCACCCCACCCCCACCCCGGATACAATGATTGTCTTACCACAAAATCCACACTCCACATTTTAATTGACTAATTAAACTAGGCATTTCCTTAGTGAAAGATATGGATTAAAGCTTTGCTGGATGTGCACAAACATTGCATGGGATTAAAAGAATTGACCAATTGGGGACAATGTTTGTAACAGTGGCTGTTAGCCAGTGCTCAGCAAAGAGGGTTAAGGCCAAATGTTTCCCTCTTAAGGTTAACAGGATGTGTGAGAGATGTAATGGGAATTGCTTTAATGCAAGTTATCCATAGGCAACTTATTTAAATAAACCTATACTACATAGTGAGAGACAAATTGTTAAGGAGATGAACCATTCTCATTGGATCAGCAAAAAAATAAAACAGGACAAAATTGTAGTAACAAGGGAACAGGCCACATATCAGGCTGTGAATTTAACATTGGAGAAAATAGCAAATAAAATAAAATAAAATCCAAATTATTACAACAACAACAAAAGGCTCACAGTTAAATTAATTGAGGGAAAGTGGGGGAGTTTTTTCACAGCAGGAAACTTCTGCTAACCATTGCTTTGCTTGGGCTGTTAAACTGACCCTAATAATTGAAATGAGAAGCATTTTTAACATATTTCATGGAAATGTGTAAGAGTTTTATGCTCTGTTGTTGAATCACAAGGATATGCCAATACTCAATCTTCTGAGCCTGAGAAGCCAATTGTTCTGTTATTACACACAAACTTCCATGAACATTTTTGACCATTGATAAAATCTATTCAACTTATTTAGAAAATTTATTTCCTCGTGTTTAAGAAGATTACTTAATTACAACTTGGAATTGCAAGGATACCAAAATCAAAGCTTCTCAGCATTTCTCTGGTTCAGCAGTAAGGTGCAATAGGAAGAGGTTAATAGAATATTATTGCACTAATAATAACTCTCTGCAAGTGGGGAAGTCCAGTTAAGAAAGTTTGTACAGGTAATCCTCGATTTATGACTGGTCATTTATGGACTGTTCACAATCACAAGGGCCTTGGAATGGATGCTTTCCAGTCCACAAGGTGCTTCCAGCCATTGCAAAATACCCCCATCCAAATCACAAGATGACTTTTCAGGCACTTGGCAACCTATTTGCATTTATGACCAGCTGCCAATTGCCTGTGATCATGTGCTTTCCATTTGCAATCTTCTCTACCGGCTTCCCAAGAAAGTCAATGAAGAAACGGACGGGAAAGTTGCAAATGGAAGGAACATTTACTTAGGGACCTACAGGCTTGTGACTTTTAAGTAAGGAAATTTGCTATGTAGATGGGGACTAAATATTCTGTAATTATAATCACAGTAATTACAATCAATCTTCCATTGAGAAGTGGAGGAGGGGTTTAGGGTGAGAGAGGGTTAGAAATTATTTTGTGACAAAGCTGTCTTTATTGGAGGTTCTAACATAAGCAAGGACTTCTAGGGCGCATTTTCTAATCAGGATTGGGATTCAAGACCAATATGGAAAATGTCTGGGAGTGGGAGAACTAGAATCAGTAATCCAAATCTGGCAGGGAAAGGGCATGGAAATGCATCAAGGATACTTTCTTTCTTTTCAGGGCTGTTTGGCTCAGTCTGGGTTGTGTTACATCTGTTCTTATTCTTCATCCCTTTATTAGTTTATTCGCTTGGTCAATTTCCAAGTTGAGGATTGCCTGCTTTGGTATGCAAAATACAACCTCCTGTAACTTGGTGCTGCCAGCCTGCATCCTTTACTCTCTGTTACTCCAGAGTTGGCTTTGCTCTAATACCACATACTCCAAGACTACTTGGATTTTTTAACCCCAGTTAAACTATTTATAACCCCTGCAACTATTTATTTCAAGGCTTATTTCTGGGGAAGGGGAAGCCCCCACCCTATGCCCTATCCGGATTTCAGATGAAATCCTGTTCAAAAACAGCTAGTGGCATTGTAGCTACCTGTCCAG